CTCACCCTGACTGCCTTTGTCACTACTCTGTCTACGATAGAGACTCGCTAGTGCACTATCGCTCAGTCGAGCGGTGTTGCGGCCGACCCTATCTTTCAGGGCTGTGTGCCCTCCCAGTGCACGTACATAGACGTCTCAGCTGCAGTTTCCATGACTGCGCCTTCCCCTGAGATAGCAGCTGCGGCTTACCTGCAGCAGCGCCAGCGCCGGGGCCGCTGTGGCCCCAAGGGAGGATGTGGTGGTGGCGCTAGTGGTGGTGGTGGCGGGGAGAGTGGTTCTGACGAGGGGGTTGGAGCTGGTGCCCAAGAGCAGCAGCAGTCGCCGCAGTCGCAGCAGCAGCAGCACTGGCATCAGCAGCCGTGGGCTCGCCTCCCACTGGGGTGGCCAGGAGCCCCAGGAGGTGGTGGTCGCGGTGGTGGCCCTCGCAGCGTGGCGTCCACCGGCAGCTTCGGTGCTGTGAGTAGTCAGTACCAGCTCCAGACCGGGCCCCTCCATGGCACGGTGTGCCGCTGCTCGCACCCGACCGCCCGCTGCTTCCGCCGCCTCGACGACCTCTTCCGTCGCCGCTTCATTCCAGCCCCGGACCTCCCTGACTGTCCCAGTCTGGTGCGCCATGGTGTGCCTGTGTTTGACTTAGACATGGATCAGATTAGTTTTGCCTTGCATTCTCTGTATGCTGACGCTCCGATTATTTCCATATCTTATTACTCTGTGTTCTCGAGATTAGGCGTATCACCTGTGTGTAGTTCAGACTCCCCTGCTGCGTCAGGCGTAGGACAGCTTGCTTTTTCTAGCCTAGGCTCTACCCTTGCTCCTCCGTCGTCAACCACTACGGCGTCACTGTCCTTCACTCTTGACTCCGGTGCGTCAGCCTGTTTCTTTCGCGACCACGCCCCTCTCACGTTGCTTGCTGCACCGGCTGCTGTCGCTCTTGCTGACCCCTCCTCTGGTCATGTAATTGCTCGCAGCTACACTACCCTTCATTGTCCGGCGGTTCCCTCGAGTTCCCTTACAGGCCTGCACATCCCTTCATTCTCCAGGAACTTAGTTGGTGTCGGCTGTCTTCAGGACCTCAACGTCACCACTACGTTCTTTGGTCACGAGCGGTACGCGGTCTGTACCGAGACCGCCTCAGGTGCCCCCCTTGCTACGTTCCCTCGGGACCCTATGTCTAGCCTGTTTACGCTGGACACTGTTTCCCCCCTGGCGGGTGTGTCTCTCTCCGGTCTTGCGTCCACCCACAATGCTGCGGCCTGCTCGTGTCAGTTGCTCACTCACCTGTCGCTCTTATCGCACCACCGCCTAGGTCACCCCGTGCTCCCTCGTCTGCGTTACATGTCTCAGCACGGTCTCGTCCTAGGTCTCCCTGCGTCACTTCCTGCCCTGCCTCCCTCGCCTGCGCCGCCGTGCACGCCCTGTGTCGAGGGCCGGCTGCGCCGTGCTCCTCAGTTCTCCTCGCTTCGCCCTGCCACTGCACCCCTCCAGACCCTGCACTTGGACGTCTAGGGCCCAGCCCCCGTCCCTGGACCGCGTTGCGAGCGCTACTTTCTTGTGCTCGTTGACGGCTTCACGCGCTACACCACGGTGTTTCCTCTGGAGCAGAAGGCCGACGTGCCTGACGTTCTTCTCCCGTGGCTTGTAGCTGCGTGCCTCCACCATGGTCTCCATGTGTTGTGTCTCCACTCCGATCGTGGCGGCGAGTTCACCACTGGTTGGCTGGGTCACATCTGTCGTGTGGAGGGCATCACCCAGACGTACACCCTAGCGGACTCCCCGCAGCAGAATGGGGTCGCTGAGCGACGCATCGGTTTGGTCATAGAGGTGGCTCGTACCTCCATGATCCATGATGGTGCACCCCATTTTCTATGGTCGTTAGCTGTTCGCTATGCTGCTCACCAGCTGAACCTCTGGCCGTGCTCCCAGCGGCCGCAGGTTTTGCCGCAGGTTCTTTGGACCAGGTTCTCTGGTGACGCGTCTTCGTTCCACGTCTGGGGCTGCCTCGCTCACGTTCGTGCCTCTGGTACGGAGGCACTGTCCTCTGTGTCTTCCTCGGTTTCCCCCTTGACTCGTCTGACTGGCACTTCTACCACCCGCCGTCTCACCGCTTCTTTCACTCCCGTGATGCCACTTTCGACAAGTTTGTCTCTGTTTACCACCGCTTTCCTCACCGAGGTCTCCCAGTTTCCCCCACCCTGTTCTTAGTTTCCACTCCCTCGATCGCCCCTGCTCCCAACCCTCCCCATCCTGCTCCGTCTAGTGTGTCTCACGTGACTCCCCTCCTGTCAGTTTCCCCAGTCGAGGAGTCGGCATACTCTAGTGGCCCCGCGGCGCCGTTTGCGCCGCCTGTCCCTCCCCTGGTCTCTCCTCCTCCCTCGTTGCAATCGCCGCCGCCACCACCGCCGCCGCAGCTATCACCACAGCCGCAGCCGTTCGTGGACTCTGGGGGTGCTGGAGATGAGGAGGGTGCTAGTCCTGAGGCTCCTGTCGTAGCTTGTCCCGGCAGGCTCGTGGGTGGCACCAGTGCTGGCGAGGTTTCTCGTTCTGGGGGTGCTGGCGTGGAGTGTCCCGGAGGTAGCAGTGGTGCAGCTGGTGGTCTAGGTGCCGGCATTGAGCAGCACCAGCAGTAGTTGCCGCCGGTGTCCGCCCTTCGCCTGCTCAACCTTCCCTCCCCTAACAGCTCGCCTGCGCCTCCCTCACCGTCTCCTCCTCTTCCTGTCCATGGTCCTGTGTTTCCTCCGCCGGACTCGTCCCCGACTCGTTTCCCACCTCGTTCCCCTCCTGTTACTCCTCCTCTATCTCCTAACCCGACGCCTCCGTCTCACGTCTGGTCTCGCCGTCCCTCTCGTGCTCGTCATGTCTCTCCTGTTCAGCGTTCTCACCCTATGTTGCTTCATTCCCACGTGTCTCGTCCTCCCCTCTTGCCTTTGCCTCTTCCGTCGTCGCTCACTGTCGCGCCTCCCCCTCTGTCTGACTCCCTTCGTGCTGCTCCTCCTCTTGTTCCTCGGGTCCTTGCCTCCCTCGTTACCGACCCGTCTGTTCTTGTCTCCAGTCTTGACGCTCTTGTCGCTGCAGTCGCTGACTTTGCCTCTACTCACCGCCTTGACTTTGCTACCGCTCTGGTCTCTGACCCTGTCTGTCCTCCGTCTGTCGGGGGTGCTCTTGACCTCGGAAGTGACGTCTTGGAGGACCAGCAGTACGAGCTTGCTTTCCTGTCAGAGGCTGCTCCCCATCTCTGTTCCATGCAACTAGTCCCTGAGGGTGACCCCGACGCCTTTGACATCCCGACCCCTTGCACCTACGCTGAGGCGACCTCAGGACCCTGGGCCTCTCAGTGGATAGCTGCCATGGAGCAGGAGATGGCATCTTGGAGGGCTACCGGCACCTACGTCAACGCAGTTCCCCCACCTGGGGTGAACGTAGTTGATGGCCGCTGGCTCTTCAACGTCAAGCGCCCCCCTGGAGAGCCGCGTGTTTTCAAGGCACGCTACGTCGCTAGAGGTTTCAGTCAGCGAGAGGGCGTGGACTTCTTTCAGACCTTCGCCCCGACCCCGAAGATGACTACTCTTCGGGCGTTGCTACTCGTAGCAGCACAGCATGACTACGAGCTCTACTCCCTCGACTTCTCCACTACTTTTCTTCAGGGTAGCCTGCACGAGCAGGTCTATCTGCCCCGTCCACAGGGCTTCACCGGTACCTTCCCTCCTGGGACCCAGTGGCTCCTCCGGCGCCCGGTCTACGGCCTCCGACAGGCGCCACGTGAGTGGTACGACACGTTGCGTGCTACGCTAGCTGACTTGCAATTCTTTAGGAGACACACCTGCACTGACCTGGGAGAGCTGCACCGCTACTTTGGCCTGTAGGTCTCCAGGGACAGAGCAGCGTGCACCATCACTCTTATACAGTCACACTTGGTGCGCCAGGTCCTTCAGAGGTTCGGTCTTCAGGTCTCCTCCACACAGCCCACACCTCTGCCGGTAGACCACAGGCTCTCAGCTCCAGTTCCCGAGGAGTCAGCAGAGCCCAGTGGTCCTTACGCAGAGCTGGTGGGTTGCTTGATGACTTGCACTCGTCCAGATCTCGCATACCCTCTCAGCATCCTGGCCCGCTTTGTGGCCACAGGGAGACACCGACTACAGCACTGGTCGGCCGCTAAGAGGGTTTTGCGTTATCTTGCAAGTACATCGGGCATGGGGCTAGTGCTGGGAGGACGCTGGCCAGTGGTCCTTACTGAGCACACACACGCTTCTAAGGCAGACGACGCTGAGATCCTCAGGTCCTCCCAGGGCTACTGCTTTAGCCTTGGTTCTGGTGCCATCTCATGGAGGTCCACTCGCTCATCTGTTGCTCAGTCTAGCTGCGAGGCTGAGATCTATGCCGGTACCATGGCGGCACAGGAGCTCCGCTGGCTGACCTTCTTGCTTGCCGGCTTAGATGAGCGGCCTAGCTTTGCCCTGGATCTGTACGCTGACAACAGGGCCATGATCCTCCTGTGTTAGGAGCCTCGACTTGAGGGCAGAGCGAAGCACATCCAGCTGCGGTACTTTCTCCTGCGCAAGCTTCAGCAACGTCGCAAGGCCCGGGTAGTACACTTGGCCTCCGGTGCCAACACAGCTGATATCTTTACTAAGGCACTTCCGCCTAGAGATCATCAGCGGCACTGCTTGCAGTTAGGTCTAGTCCCTGTTGACTCTCACTTGCTAGGCCCTTGATTGTGTACTCCTTTATATTTATGCCTTCCAGACTGGCCTTGTGGCTTTTCTTCCAGCTGTTGACTCTCACTTGCTGAGCTGCGTGTTTCTTGCTCATCACTACCCCTTATCTAGCCTAGGGGGTGTGTCAACCTATACATATACTGTTATGTAGAAGTTATAGGCTAGACTAGGTATGTTCTTAGTGGGTACAACCCAAACGCTATATCTCCCCGGTTCTCCCTTGTTCTAATCATACTTTCTAGTCTTAACGCTTTCACGGCAGTGCACCAAGTGTATGTAGTCTATAACCGGGGGATGACGGTAACACTCATAGGGGCTTATCAAGAAGGAACGAAAACCTAGCATAGAGTTATGCATAAAACAAGTGCTCACAGATGTCTAGAGATGTCTTAGGAACCATCCAAAAGTTATCAAGGCACACAAAGATAATTGGTGGATCCGATGTTCTCAGAACAGCGTTTGCCACGATTGTAGTCAGCAAATTTTGCGATTGACCCATCGTAGAAGCGGTAAGCAGCTGAACACGCCAGTGATGGTTTGACGTTCTTCATCCTTCCCTTTGTGCAAAGGCCCTCTTTGAATGGCCAATACGTCGCACTCAGGCAAACCTGGAATAGCAAGATGGACGTGAGGGAAGTGCAAAGGAATCATTAGGGGGGAGGAGAGAAACCACACTGGACAAGTGAAGATCGACGAGAGGTGAAGAATTAGGAATTGGGCGATGCGGAAATATGGGGGATGATGCAAGGAAGTTAATGTCCTAACTGGCAGATGAGCTCTGACGTCCCATGACTTATCCATTTACCACAAACACCTCTTGTCTCCACCTCCGTGCTCTTGTGTGTCTCTCCCTCCAAGATCCCTGCCTCTCCCCCTTCCTTCCCCTCCCCAACGAAAGCCATGCCCCACAGCCCTCACCTCCACGCCCATCCTTCCCAATGAAAATCTCCACCCCACAGCTCTCACCTCTTTGCCCATCTTGCTGCCAACAGCAGAGGCAGAGCGAGGGATGTTGGGGGAGCAGGTGAGGCCGGGGTTGTTGCGGTACAGCTCAGCCGTGGTGGTCCGCCGAAGCAGCCGGTCGCACGTGTCTTCACGTGTCAGCACGCCGGATGACGTGCACACGGGAACCGTGTAGGCCAAGGCAGCATCGCGCTCGACACACACCGAGCGGCCCGCCTTGACGACTTGGGAGCAGTCAAGGCCGGGGTTGAGACTGGTAAGGCGGCTCACATCAAATTTGAGCTTCTCGCTGATGGACGAACAGCTGTCCCCCTGTAGCATTGAACAATGGCAAGGACGGTGCCCTTGTTGCTTGGTCACAGGCGTTCAGAACAATCCATATGCTATCTTGGCGTTGAGAAAACCTAATATGCTAGGCAGGTCAGCGTGCAGTGAGGGCCAATAAAGAGGGCACCATATCTCACATTGAGGGAGTAGAAGAAGGCAGTGCAGGGTGTGGTGGGAGTTCCATTCAGCTGAAGAACACTGCCCTGGGTCAACGGTTGGGTGCAATCTACGGCCTGTGAGGAGCATAAGAATGAAAAAGCGGTGATGGGAACGAGACGCTTGCATGAGAAAGGGAACCCCTCCTTTCGGTTCAGGGTGCTGGAGATCTTATACCAGAACAGAAACCCGTGAAGGATACAGTAAACCCGTTCCCGGTGTTTCTAAAGTAATGGGAGGTTGATACAAGTACTGAATGAGATTCGAGCAGGAAATTTGTAGTGGGAGAAACCCAAGACATTTTACAGGGGGGGGGGGGGGGAAGGAAAAAAACACGCCCGCAGGTGACTTTGTCCATAAAAAACTGAAAACATAATCCCCATTCCTCTTTGTCCTACATAATCCCTGCCTCTTTCTTCCCACCCCCATTTTCAACCAATCCTTACCTTGTTCCGAACCGTGAAGTCATCCAAAGAGAGGCCAACCAGCTGATAAACATCTGAACACCTCCATTTGTCTCCACTGACTGTCATGGTGGTGGCTGTGGTATTGACTGAAGACAAAATGAATGAGAGAGAGGGGAATCCAGAAACAGGAAGGGAGGGGAGTAAGTTTGGATGCTGCGAACTCTTACTAACCAACACGTGAGCGGCTTCAAATTTGAGAAACGGAAACATCTGAAGTCGCTACGAAAGGATAACCGTAGCACCTGTTTTTCCCCCCCTAGTCGACAGCTCAGGGTGGTTTCATTTTAAACGTCATCCCTGATTTGCACTACAAAAAGAAGGAAAGCTTTTCGGGCTGAAAGAAAAAATACGAGTTTCAAGTGACCCCCAACTTTGTAGTTTTAGCCAAGGGCCTTGAGCACAATGCTCCAAGTGTACTATGCGCCTATAACCGGGGGATGACGGTAACACTCATAGGGGCTTATCAAGAAGGAACGAAAACCTAGCATAGAGTTATGCATAAAACAAGTGCTCACAGATGTCTAGAGATGTCTTAGGAACCATCCAAAAGTTATCAAGGCACACAAAGATAATTGGTGGATCCGATGTTCTCAGAACAGCGTTTGCCACGATTGTAGTCAGCAAATTTTGCGATTGACCCATCGTAGAAGCGGTAAGCAGCTGAACACGCCAGTGATGGTTTGACGTTCTTCATCCTTCCCTTTGTGCAAAGGCCCTCTTTGAATGGCCAATACGTTGCACTCAGGCAAACCTGGAATAGCAAGATGGACGTGAGGGAAGTGCAAAGGAGTCATTTGGGGGGAGGAGAGAAACCACACTGGACAAGTGAAGATCGACGAGAGGTGAAGAATTAGGAATTGGGCGATGCGGAAATATGGGGGATGATGCAAGGGAATGATCCAAGGAATTTAATGTCCTAACTGGCAGATGAGCTCTGACGTCCCATGACTTATTCATGTACCACAAACAACACTTGTCTCCACCTCCGTGCTCTCGTGTGTCTCTTGCTCTCCCAAATCCCTCCCCCTCCCCCTCCCTTCCCCTCCTGAACAAAAGCCATGCCCCACAGCCCTCACCTCCACGCCTATCTTGCTGCCAACAGCAGAGGCAGAGGAAGGGATGTTGGGGGAGCAGGTGAGGCCGGGGTTGTTGCGGTACAGCTCAGCCGTGGTGGTCCTCTGAAGCAGCCGGTCGCACGTGTCTTCACGTGTCAGCACGCCGGATGACGTGCACACGGGAACCATGTAGGCCAAGGCAGTATTGCGCTCGACGCACACCGAGCCGCCCGCCTGGATGACTCCGGAGCAGTCAAGGCCGGGGTTGAGACTGGTAAGACGGCTCACATCAAATTTGAGCTTCACGCCAATGGACGCACAGTTGTCCCCCTGGAGGGATGAACAATGGCAGGGACGGTGCGCTCGTTGCTTGCCCACAGGCGTTCAGAACATCAATGTGAAAACAATTAAAATGCTATCTAGCGCGCTTGTTGCTGGCTTGCATAGGCAGGTCAACGTGCAGTGTGCCGCCCAGTAAAGAGGGCACCATATCTCACATTGAGGGAGTAGAAGAAGGCAGTGCAGGGTGTGGTGGGAGTTCCATTCAGCTGAAGGACACTGCCCTTGGTCAACGGTTGGGTGCAATCTACGGCCTGTGAGGAGCATAAGAATGAAAAAGCGGTGATGGGAACGAGACGCTTGCATGAGAAAGGGAACCCCTCCTTTCGGTTCAGGGTGCTGGAGATCTTATACCAGAACAGAAACCCGTGAAGGACACAGTAAACCCGTTCCCGGTATTTCTAAAGTAATGGGAGGTCCTAAAGATCTTATACCAGTACAGAAACCCATGAAGTAATGGGAGGTTGATACAAGTACTGAATGAGATTCGAGCAAGAAATTTGTAGTGAGATTTTACAGGAAAAGAGAAAACAAAAAGTACACCCGCAGCTGACTTGAGATCTGGTGGTTTTTTGTAGTCACATAAAAAGCTCAATGGACTTCGCTCAAAACCCCCATTCCTCTTTGTCCAACATAATCTCTCCCCCTTTTTTCCCAATCCCATTTTCAACCAATCCTTACCTTGTTCTGAAGCTTGAATTGATCCAAAGAGAGGCCAACCAGCTGATAAACATCCGAACACCTCCATTTGTCTCCACTGACTGTCATGGTGGTGGCTGTGGTATTGACTGAAGACAAAAAGAATGAGAGAGAGGGGCATCCAGAAACAGGAAGGGAGGGGAGTAAGGTTGGGTGCTGCGAAATCTTACTAACCAACACGTGAGCGGCTTCAAATAGGAGACACTGAAACATCTAAAGTCGCTAGGAAAGGACAACCGTAGCACCTGGGTCGCAAGTAGGGGTGTTGTATTCAGTTGTGCTTTGGACGTAGTTGGGAGGGCAGATGCAGGAGTAGGAGCCCCTCCCGTCGTTGATGCATGTGCCCGTGGAGCAGGGGTTGCTGAAGTACGACTGGCATACTTGCACTGCCACAATCGTACCAGGGTGGTGGGTAGAACAGAGAGATTGGAGATAGTAGGGAAAATGGAGTTGAGAGAGGGTTATGGGGGCAAGAGAGCCATGGGGGCAAGAGAGCCATGGAAGAAAGAGAGCCTCTCCCGTTGCCTGTCATATAAGCTTCTCCAGACAGGCTGCAAAGAGGTACAAGCTGGATGCCAAGTGAAGGAACCTTGGCGTTTCTATATGCACAAGATTAAGGGCACACTTCGAATCTAAAACGAAGATGTGCATCGTGCATGCGGTCTTACCATAAGCACATGTATTGGAGCCGTTTCCATTCCCAACCTCGACAAACGGCTGAGTGGTAGCTTTGGAAATGCTGCAGCTGCACTTGTTGCCGCCACCTGTAAGCGCCTGGCAGGGGAACCGTCCACACGGGTTCATGCTGGGCTGCGGCTCCAGATCAAACTGATAGCTGCTTTGGCTGCACGGGTCTTCTGGAACTGGAAGAATGGGAAGACAGCACGGAGCATGAAGAACAAGGAACAATTGGGGGACGGGGGGAACAGTTGCTGTGTTGGAACAAGGAGAACGGATTTGGCTCTTGAGTTACACTCAAAAGTCACCTCGCCTAGAACTGGAAAAACGGGTAGACGACACGGAACAAGGAGAACGGATTTGGAATGCGTGACGGTGGAAGTTGGACATAAACACGATGCAAAACGTGGAGAAAACAAAGGGAACAAGCTGCTGTGTTCTCATAGGTCCGCAGGAACTGAAAGGTCAGAGAAAGGAAACACTCGAACACATGCCAATTGAGCGCAATGAGCAATGAGCAAGTCATGGCGCAATGAGCATTGTGGTCTAAAGAGAAGACTTTTGAGTCGACTCAAGTCACGTCTCAATGAGCAATGTGGTATCTTCGCATTTGGGGTAGATGCCCTACTCTTGGCAATGGGGTCGATGCCTCACTCTTAATAACGGGGTAGATGCCAGGCAGCACGTTGATGCCGCACACGCCATCCCCTCCCTGGATGTCCATGCGCATATGGCCCTTGTCGCCCCACCCATCTCCCCACGAGTTGCGGATGATCCAAAACGGAGGACCAAACTGGCTGGCGTCACCATTTATAACGGAGTAGCCAATAACGAGTACGACATGGTTCAGCCTGCCAGTGTAGCAGCCTGCATCCATGTACTTGAATGTCTGCAGCAGAAGGGCGACAGCACATGCATCAAGACAGGGACTCCAATCATTACAGTGAATTACAGTGAATTGCAGTGCAGTGAATTATAGTAAAATATAGGATGAACTTTAAAAAAAAAAAGACTGTAGCTCTCTCCACCATGCAGGCAGTTGCTTCTTGTTGTGTGAGCCATCTCTATGCAGGCTAATATGACTCACGCCATTATGGTCACAAAGCATATCCGTTGTTGTGTGAGCCATCCCTATGCTGGCAGGCGAATATGACTCACGCCATCATGGTCGCGGAACGTGGGAGCAGAAGCCTCGATGTGAACCACCACTGGCTGCCGCTGCACTGCCAGCATGAGCCCCACATACCCCTTGAATCGTGTCCGCTCAAATGCCTGCACCGGATACCATTTTGCCTGAGACCACGACAGTTGAATGCGAGATGCAAAAAGGGGAGACGGTTTTGACAGCAGGAGACATCACAATGAATTACCAACCAACCAACCAAGCAGTATGCAAAAAAAAAAAAAAAAAAAAAAAAAAACTTGGAAGGGCAACACGTTTGAATGTCTTGAAAGGGCAAGCCAACATCAAGCATCACCCTCCTCAAACCTTACAGCAATACACCTCTCACATATCTGTCTCACCTCACTTGTCAAATCCTCAATCTGTTTGCCCTACCGGTTGAGTGCCCCCTGTGAGTCCAGTGCCGGCAGGAAGAGTAATCAGCTTCTCAAAGGCCACGGTGGGAGATCCTCCGGCTGTGCACTTGTTGGTTTGTGTGAGTCCCATGGCTGCATAGAGTGGCTCTACTGACAGCAGGGGGGCCGTCTGCTGAGTTGCAATGCCGTACGCTGCCTCCACACTTGCCACCACCGCATAAGCCCAGCAGGCACCTGAGAAGTTGATAAGAGAAATGTGATGCGTGGAGTGAAGGTCAGAAAACATTTAGGGACGGAGGCAGTTGCAGCATTGTGGAAAACAGAAACGATCCACGCGATCCAGTCGATAACAAAACAAGCCACACGAAGATCCAGTCGATAACAAAACAACAGCGTAAGGGACGGGAAAACAGCAAAAACTGATAAAGACATTGCATTACAACCACATGCCCTTAAACCTGCCATCCTCCTTCCACTCACTGCAGTCGCCCTGGTCCTTGACGGGCCATCCGAGGAAGGGCACGGAGTCCCAGGTTTGCTCGTCACGAATGAGCCACGAGTCCTCCATTTTGTTTGACAGGCTGTAACCCGCGCTCACATAACGCGAAAAGGGGCTGGCTCCAGAAGGTGCGAAATCGGCCGCCGATATCGAGAGACCAAGAGCTGCAAGGGGTGAGACGGGGCGGGCGAAGAGAATTGTGGAGATGGGGAGTTTGGGGAGGATGAAATCTGAATGTCACGCTCCTATTGTCCCAGTTTAGAATAGTAGCAATTTCTTAAGCCAATTTGGAAGTTTTTGTGAAACATGCCAGTCTTTGCCAGTCTCCACATGCCAGTGAAACTTGTGACAGTTCAGTGCAACACAATGTGCTTAGAAAAAGGACACAAGGGTTTCACTTATGTCGTTTCACAATGTGCTTAGAGTTCTTTTTCACCTCTGTTTCTGGACTAATTGTCTAACAAGCTCGACTGTCAGTTGCCACACGGCAGCGAAGAGAACTCACCTTTGTTTTTTATTAGGACTGTCTTGGGTGGAGGAATGCCTGTGAGGAAGTGCACAGAACAAAAGACAGTAACAGAAGCCACAAGGTGAACATTAATTCGTGAGCCAATTAAACACCCTATGACTGACTGGCAATGGCAAGATCACATTACCTAGCAACCTTTGAGTCGACTCAGAACCATGACTGACTGGCTTGGCAAGATCACATTACCTACCTTCACATCGGATACTCACATCGTTTAAACCGCCATCACCTTCACCATCACCTGATTCGACATATTCGCACCTGTTTGCACGGCGGAGCTGCGAATAAAAGTCCTCCGGTACGGATTCCATTCGGTGAATGCCACGAAGCCAAAGAAGAACGCCTGCTGCTCCGCGCTAGCCTGCAGCACCTCACACAGCGCCACACTCCACTGCAGTAGCGGCTCTGCTGGCTTCTCTGTCGAAGCAGCCAGGAACACCTGAATGGTCCCGGAACCCTCAGGCTCGTAGTCCACCCATGCCGTGTAGCTGCTGCCGTTGGTCAGTCTGAACGGTAATGCCGTCTTGACCGCTGGTATGTCGTCGCCATCTACATTCAGCCCCACATGCGAATCGATCCAAGACTGGCGATAAACCGTGTCAAATACAACGGCTATACTCCGATTTCCCATTCCATCAAACCCTTCATGACCGCTCCCAACGTCAGCCTTTGGCATGATCACAAACGCGACGCCATTGTAGCTGTAGTTGCCCTTGTAGTTGAACAGGGGAACGAGGGCGAAGGTGAAGTTGACACTGAAAGCCAGCTCCATGCCACAACCCAGGCTCGGACCAGCCGGGTATGCAAACAGGGTCACCGGCTCTGCAATGAACTTGCCCACCATCTCCCGCTCCATCCCTTTGGTGAGCACAGTGCTTGAGGGGAGAATAGGCCCGCTGAAGCTTGGGTCCCAGTCTGAATGGATGCGATGGATGGCAATGCAGCACGGGGATGGGTGTGAGTGGTGGATCTTTGGTGTCTGCTGAGCTGGCTGAGCACTATCCTGTGGTCCGCTCTTTGAGGGTGGCGTGCATAGTTCAGGTGTACACGTGCGCATCGTGAGTTGGTCGAGTTTCCAAGTTCATGTGTAGGAAAGAACGCGGCAACAAAAAGGAGCAGAGGCATGGTTGTTCAAATGGGTGAAATGTGGTGCCAAGCTGGAAAAGCTTGCGGCACTAGGTGTGGACAAGGAAGCAGAAAGGTAAGAGGGCAAAGAGAGCAATAGGGCAAGCGGGCAAGAGGGCAAGAGGCAAGTAAATCAGTATAAACGGTTTCAAAGTGCAAGAAGGGCAAGAGGGCAAGGCGCACTTCGAATGTGGTGTCCATGCCATACTTCTGGTGCGTGTCTGCCAATGCAATATGTTCACTGTGTGCGCTAAGTGCTCTATCCATTACCAGTGGGAGCACAGTTGGTTGTTCCGAGCTGTACGAATCCCGATTCACACAAGCACGTGGGCGCGAAGCTGGGCCCGTACGGGTAGCACGTGCCATGACCGCCGCAAGCAGCAGTGGTGTTGGAGACGCCACAGAATGCCAGGCACTCCGCTGCAGGCCGCTGTACCTCGGAGCTGCAGCCCTCGGGCAGAGTGAAGCAGTTGGCAATGAGGGTTTGAGGCTGGGTGCAGTCTGAGTTCAGCAAAAGACCCGACAAGTAGTTGTGTGAAAGCTTCACTTGGACCAGTGGAAGCTTCACAAGGGGGCCCGTGAGGTAGTTGTGCGAGAGATCACTGCCAGGAAGAAGGGGCGAATATTGCTTAGATTCACAATGCGTGAAGGTTACACGAACATTCGTGATCAAGAGTGTAAGAATCAAGAGCGTGAAAATTAAGAGTGTGACAATCAAGAGTGTGACAATCAAGAGTGTGCCAATCAAGAGTGCGACGATCAAGTGGTGTGTCGTACCACTCTGTCAGCTTTGTCATTCCGGAGAGAGTGGCGGGTATGCTTCCATATAGCTGATTGTAGGAGAGTGTCCTGGCGATCGTGAAAGAGGACGGGTGGAGTTAGAGAGGAAGTGTGGAATTAAAGAAGGGTGGAGTTAGAGAGGAGGTGTGGAATGAAAGAAGAAGGGTGGAGTTAGAGAGGTTCGGAGGAAGGAAGGGATGAGGGGAATTAAAAGCAACCTAAAGTTTTGCAAGTACAAGGAGGGGGGGCGTGGAGGTAGAGGTTTGCTACAAGAAAGTGAGATCCTGTTACCGGTATAGTACGTGGTGTGGGGCATTTCACAATGAGATATGCTGCTGCAGCAGACAGACCTGCTTGAATATGAATTGCCGGGTGCTATGCCGCTTTACAGAAAAACCAAGCCATCTTCATGCTACGCAATAGTGTGCCGACTTACAGGTGAGATAAAGCAGTAAGCCTGGTTACTGTATCGGGAATCGACCCGCCAAGACGGTTACCTTGGAGCCCCCTGCAGATGAAAGAGGAGGCATGAAGGAAGACAATGCTCGAACATAAAATCCAGTGCTGCAATAGTACGCAGTGTGCAATATTCAAATCACTATGCTAAAATCCAACAAAAATTAGCAAGAGCAACCATCACGGTACCCATGCGAGCCATAAGCCACAGATTCAAAGTAACCTGTCTCCGGTAACAATCTGGCTTTTACGACTCAGGTTGGTTGGGCGCCGCAACTGGTGCATGCAAAGAAGCACCATGTATGTAGTGTAGAGGCTGAAACAATCTCATGAGCTGCCACTCGAGGGAAAATTGGGAGGCAATGCAAGGGATAGCCAAGGAATAAGAATCAGTGTTCGCTTACAGAAACTGCAGCGATTTGAGGTTGAAGATCCCTTGTGGTATCGTGCCTTTCAGCTGGTTCTCTTCCAAATATCTGCCACGTAGTGTCAAGAAGGCGACCCACATGCAGAAAGGTGCAGCAAGCAATGATCAAGGCTTTACTCATCAAGTGAGCAGAACAGTCAATAAAAAAAGTCGTGACATGGAAAGTGGCAAGACTGAGGTCCACAGAGTTTGGGAAATTAGAGGCATAGCAGCTCTGGGAGATTACAACACTGCATTGCTGACGGGTAAAGAGCGCAAAGGGAATTGTGCAGAGAGGAAGTAAAAAAAGGGAGCATAAGCAGAGTAAATACGACAAGGGAGCCAAAGAGGAAACAAAACGAGGTTTACTGAACAGCAGGTTAAAAAAAAGGCTTTACCTTCATCAGCTCCGTATTTTGCGCCGAAAGTCGCAATCGAGCATGACAGCGATAAAAATAGCAAACAAAACATAACACTCGACTAGCTCCTCCTGGCAGTTGTGGTCAGTGGACTCGCTATGAGAGAGGAAAGAAGAGGAGTGTTGAGTGGAGAGGGTGGGCTAGAATTGAAATATGAAGATTCAAGAGGATAAAGAGTGGAGGGTGTTTTTTAGAATTCTCTTGCACCTTGGCGCTTGTGCGACTCGTGTTAAAAACACATGTGGCAACTCGCTCCCTCGGATACTCGGCACAGTCGGGGATCGAACTGGGATTCACATCCATGCCTTTCACCCTAAGCCGCCCGCAGATGTTCCAAATTACCTCGAACCAAGAATACTATGCACTGGGCTAATACATGCTGCAGAACGTCCAGCCCAAAGCTGAGCACACCATTCGCGTGAAGAGGAGACAAGGCGAGGAGAGGCAGAGTTCAGAAAGCGCAACAATCAGTGGCCTTACATCGTTTCCAAATCTGTAAGAGAGTTGACTGCAGGGATTGAACCAGTGAGCTGGTTGTTTCCAAGTGACCTGCGGTCATTAACAACAGCATGCGGTAGATTCAGGCATGGGATGTTTTCAGCCATGTGATAGATCAAGGCATGCGAGAGATTAAGGCGGGGATTTCCAACTCAGATCAGTGGTTCCCAGCAGAATCAAGACATCATGTGACGGACATGGACATCAAGACATCATGTGATGAACATGGACATCATGACATCATGTAACGAGCATGGACATCAAGACATCATGTGACGAACATTGACATCAAGACATCATGTGATGAACATGGACATCAAGACATCATGTGACGAACATTGTCTCTCTAGAGCTTTCACAGACAAGAGCAGGGAGTAGACGAGGGTGGCAAAAGAGAGGGGAGGGGCACTGGAAAAGAGGACAGGTGAAAATCAGGGAGGGGGTAGATAACATCTGTAGATAATGCAGACCCATACTGCCATGAGTCCAGTCCAGTGCCGTGCACAGAAAATACTACATAATGTACAGCATTGGAGGGGGTCTGATTATTAGAGTAAAGAGGGGCGAAGAAAACAGAAGACTGTTCGGAGAGGTCAGTAAAGTTGCAAGACTGGTTATGAGAGAAGAAAGAAGTGGAAAGTTGAGCGGAGAGGGCAGGATAGAACTAAAAAAGAATTCACGGGGATAAACAGTGGGGGAATGGAGACAGGCAGAGATCGCAGAACAACAAAGCAGAGGCCTTACATGTGTTTCAGTTTTGAGAAGGAGCTGATTCCAGCGGGGATTGGGCCAGTGAGCAGGTTTTTGTTAAGAGCTCTGTGCCAAGAAAACACAAATCAGGAATACGATTGGGCTCTTAATTAAATCTCCAAACATAGAGGCCACGGTTACCAGTCAACCAAAACAAGAAAGGGCAGAGGAGAGCATAGCAGCACCGGCAAGTTCCTTGAACCTAGCGTGCCCAGCTCAGCTCAGTGCAGTGCGGCGCACAAAGTGCACAATATACGGAAAGGATGGCGTGGAGATAAGTGGACAACGCAGGAGATTATAAGAACCTTTGAGAACAACAAAGAGAGGGGGGCTTACAGAACTTCAATCTCTCTAAAAGAGCTAATGGTAGAAGGAATTGAGCCTGTGAGCTGATTGAATTGGAGGGTTCTGTACACGTAAACAGCAGGAATGTGATAAGAGAAGGCAGAGAGTTCTAAATCGAGTGGAAACGAATAGGGCTTACAGGGCTTCCAGATAGGAAGATTATAAAGCGCCTTTAAGAAAAACAAAATCCGATGACAAGCACAATCCAAGCTAGTCAGTCAGGTAGCTTGGCCACATAAACAGATTATAAAGCATAAACCCATAGGACAAACCCCCATAATAGAACGCCCGACGTTCAATCCCATACGCCCGACGTGGAACGCTCTGCGTGCCTGATTATTAAAAAAAGTTTTCCCTCGAATCAACTTGGACACTCTCGTATCACACTGAGAAGCACACAGGCCACCCTGAATGAGAGCATCGCTGCAAGAAGAAAGGGGCCCGCGAAAGGGCTTACAGTTCTTTCAAAGCTGTCAATGCGCCAATGGTATCAGGGATAGGGCCGGTGAGTTGATTGTTTCCGAGACTCCTGTATGGTGAACGGAAAGGGAATTTGGGATGAGAAAAACAGCGGGGAAAAATATCCATGGTGTTAAAGGGCAGGAATAGGACGGAAGTTGAGAGTGGTGGAGTTGAGTTGAGAGTGGTGGAGTTGAGTTGAGAGTGGTGGAGTTGGAACGGCATGGACTGGATGATGACGGGAATATTGTTTCAGATACCTCAAATTCCTTAAATCTTATCTTACCATTTAAAACCGAATGAGTCCATGAACGGAACAAACAACGAATCTATTTCGCCTATATTCAGCTACATTGAAGCCCTTGTCTCCCGTGTGCGGTGCTCGCTTCTAGCGTGGAGCACACTAAGTAGAGCGATGGAGTTGGTGGTCGTAAATGGATTAAACAAATTTAAAGGATTAAAAGGAAGAGGGGGTATCGAGAGCAGGGGTCAGGACAGGACAGGAATGGCATCACAAGGAGGAGAGAGGATGGAGAGTAGGGGCAGAGAAATGCGAGCACAATGAAGCAGAGAGGTCTTACAGGTATTCCAGGTTTTTCAGAGAGCCAATTGTGCTGAAAATGGAGCCAGTAAGCTGGTTCATAAAGAGATCCCTGTAACAATAAACACGGATCAAGCATGCAATTGGTAGAGAGGGACTTCGCGTGAATAACCTAGAATACTACGAACTGGACGGATCTAGTTGCAGAGCGCCCAGCCCCTTCAACAAGAAGTGCACATGTAAATGCATGGATGGAGACGTCACGTTGGTGGCTAAAATCAGGGAGGCTTCAGGGTAGCTAAAAAACCTTCAACTGCTATACAAGGACGACGGCTTACAGTGCAAGAAGATTTGTTAGATTGCCGACTGCATTGGGGATAAAGTTTAGTTGATTATTACGGAGCTGCCTGTGATGGCGAACAACACGGGTAAAGGTGCAGAAAATACAGGAAAGGAGAGGGTGGTGGTAAGTGCACTCTAGAATAGTAAATCAAAAGAGGGGTCAATGGAGAGCATCTGTCAAGACTCGAATTGAGGAGCACGGAGGAATGCATGGAAGAGGTGAGGAGACGACAAAGAAACAAAATGGGGAGAAAGGAGGAGCTAGGGAAAAATAGGCGGTGAGGAGGCGAGAGAATATGTAAAACTCGGAATGACAAAAGGGAAGCAAGATGAGGGGTTGTGAAATGATTAAGGAATGCAGCAGAGCCAGAGAAACCAGACTGGACTAACGTCAAACGAAGGAGAGACGGTGGAGAGGAGAGCACAGCAGAAGCAGGAGCCTTACAGCAGTGCCAGGTTTGTAAGGGAGCCGATTTCGTTGGGGATTGAGCCAGTGAGAGATCGATTTTGAAGGTTGCTGTAACAATGACGAAACGCGCATGCGATAGACCAAGGCAGAGATTTCATTCTCGCGTAAAACGAGCAGTCAATGGCGGCAAGAATTGCAAGATTGCAAGTGGGAGCAGGAAGCAGGGGAACAAGGGCGGCGGAAGACAGTCCAGAGGCTTCTTGCAGAGGACCTACAGGTAAGTGAGCTTTTGGAGATTGCTGATGGATTTCGGAATGGGCCCTCGTAGAGAGGCCATGTAACTCGCCGGAGGGGATCTGCATCCAAACATGCCACCACACGGTTTACCATCAGCCAGCATAGTATGAAATAAAAGTGTCAGCATGTCAGCTTGTAGGTGGCACCACTTCTAGAACATGACGCGTACATGTGGTGATTGCTGGAGTTCCAGCAGGTCTCCCGAACACAAATTTGCCGACCCGCACCAGTTGAAGTGTGCACACTGATATACTAGTACTACACAACGCCAACCCCGCGTACCACGGTACCAGTCGTTGCAGCGACTCCAAACCCACGCCCTAATACACAATAGTACTACAGAACAATGCCAACCCAGCCCGCGTATCTCTCGCCTCGCCTACTGCATAGGCGCACGGCGGGCGGACCTCCGGGCATGTTGGCACTCTAGGACAGAATTGTGAATGCGCGGATCTGATGGTCTCACATCTGCAAGATCATCCCGCTGCTGTCGCATTTGATGCCCATGGCAGTGCTGCAGTTGGTGTTGCGGCCGTCCCACCCACTGAAGGTCGACGACCATGCCTTCCGGCAGTCCTCAAGGAATTGCGCTGCGAGATTGGGGGAGGGGGGAGAGAATGGGGAGAGGAATCTCTTTTTGAGGCGCCTCAAGAATTGTGCTGCAGTTGGTATTGCGGCTATCTATCCCACCCATCGAAGGTCGACGGCCATGTGGTCCGGCAGTCCTCAAAGAATTGCACTGGGGGGTTGGTGTAGGGGGGCAAGAATGGGAGAGGAAAATGGAGGGGGCAATGGGTGTTGGCAGGGGAGGAGTTGGCGGAGGCGGGAGAGGGGAGAAGGGGGTGCGGCAGGTGTGGTTGGATTGGAAGCAGGGAGGAGGGTGGGGTGAGAGGCGCACGCACCAATGTGGGGGTTGTTTCATGCCGGTGATTGCTGGAGTCCATCTGCTTACATTTGCAAAGGACTATGTTGGAGTGGCTCTCACAGCGGCTCTCACAGCGGCTCTCACCGTGCGAGGCTCTCACCTTGCGAGGCTCACACCGTGCGAGGCTCTCACCGTGCGCGGCTCTCACCTTGCGAGGCCTCGAACGGCTGAGCGTTGACCATCACGAGGGGCGTGGCGGCAAGGACAGCGGCAAGGCACAGCGCGAGTGCCGCTGGCAGCGCGCGCTGCACCCGCTCACACGCCATTCGCCGTCCCTGGCGGCTCACCGCCGGCGCCAAGGGAGACCAGGTCGGCCAGGTCGGCCAGGTGAGGCTGGAGCGCAGCATGGTGCCGCTCCAACTTGAGGGTGAGGGGAAGCGCAGCAAATCGACGCTGCTGATGACCGCTCTCGCGCCTAGCAGTGCTCGACAGACTGTGGAGAAGCCGGGGACGGGTGGGAGCGCGGCGCCGTGGCTTGCGGTAGAGGGGAGGATGCTTCTTGGACGAACGCCGCGGGACGAGTCAGTGTGCCGCCAACCTCTTCACGTGGGTTGCGGTTCAAGGCTCCGCAGCGCAGCGACGACGGCGGCGCTCAAGGGTCAAGGCTCAACTTGAGGCTTTGAAAGCTAAATGAGGCTCGCTCACAGCAGCGCTAGTAGCGCTACTAGTAGTAGTGGCAGCAGTAGGATGATGCGCTCGGAATCAAACACGGCCAAGTCTGGAACGCGGCAGTGGGCAATCGTAAGAGCAACCCGACTGGGCGACTTGCGAGAACAATGCTGGGTATGAAGTCAGGGGAGACGTTGGGGAATGAAGTTGGCTGGCCCACTGGGGAAAGGTGTACTTGTATGGAAAGCCGGGCAAGGAAAGCCCACGTCCGCGGCGGGCGCCAGCGGCGCAGAAGTTCCGCCGCGCTGGTCTCGGCGCGATGGCCAACCCGCACTGCAGAATTATTGCCAGAGCAGTAGGCGCTACTAGTAGTGTCCAGGCCAGCCGCGGAATTATTGCTTCGGAACAGGCGGTGCCCATCTCGACTCGCGGGCACATCCCGATGCGCATCATGCTCGCCGTGCTCCACTGAAGTCAGGACGCGCGGCTTGCCATGGCTAGTACGGGGCTACTTCAAGTTGAAGTCATGACGCGCGCCTTATCTCATCGAGTTGCCCATCGTAGCCCATCAACTCTGCTTCCCGAGCTGACTTCCAGTCATGATTATTGCTGACCATCACTCGATTATTGCTGCTCGGCATTCCGCAAACTGCACAGCCATTTTATCAATGCTACAGAGTGAGCGACACCTAGGTTGACCACGAAGGACTGGAAGGAGGTCCTAAAGAAGGATGACTCATCCAAGTTTGTTACACAGTACACCAGAGGCAGATTGCGGCCACAGTGCGCTGACGTCCTCGCCCCAACGAGAATCGCGCCCATCCCGCTTTAAAGGCGTGGAAAATCTACTTTTTTCGGTTGGGACAACCGAACCAGTTCCGAATTCGGCGAATATTTTCAGTGGAACGAACAGATGCGGAAGGTTCACGGAAAGGGTAACAGTTCTGGATTCCGGAATCCTGTCAGGTTTCGGAAGGCTAAAGACGGGCTGGAGTGGAGCGCAAAGCAAATCCTTCCCTGTACTTTATCCTTATAGCCCTCTATTGTGTATTTCGCTAGTATGGGAAGGGAACCACCAACCAAATTCACATGGACATGGCTTATGTAGTAAAGAGGCAGACTGAGGGCGATTTTGCCCTTGCCAGTATCCGACAGCGTCGCACACAGCGAGCCTGATCTAGGTGCTCTCATCACATGAGCACATTCGACAATGCCACACCCACCGCACCACAAAGAGTGTGACTTAGACTTGAATCGACTAGTTGCCGACGGACACACATCATTCTCAAACCAAATCGTTTCGCAACAACAATTTTCTTCTGTCAGCCAGTTGCCCACAAGTTAACTGCATAAATTCACGTTACACGGCTTAATAAAAGGTCCACCTGATAAATACAGTACCAAGTTAGCGCTATCCTGGTCAAGCGACTTCACAGGTGGCCATTGGCTGGCGTTTCTTGCTTGTACTGCAGAAGTTTCTGCTCGATGCTGTTCAACAGAGGGCCGTACCTGAAAGAAACACAAGAAGCACACATATGTGCACGCACATAAAAAAGCCCACATGCCCCAACAAACATGCCCCACATGCCCACATGCACCAACAAACATGTCCACATGCCCACATGCACCAACAAACATGCCCACATGCCCACATGCACCAACAAACATGCCCACATGCCCACATGCACCAACAAACATGCCCACATGCCCACATGCACCAACAAACATGTCCACATGCCCACATGCACCAACAAACATGCCCACATGCCCACATGCCCACATGCACCAACAAACATGCCCACATGCACCAACACAAACGCATTTGATGGCAGACATGTGGGGCCAGAGTCAAGACCACAACAGAGGTACGTCCTAAGAACTGACAGGGGATGAGTAGGAAAAAGCAAATGAGAAGGCAGGAGAGTGACGTAGGTACTAGGTAGGGAGAGGAGCCTCAGGAAATGTGCCTCGAGTGCAAGGGAAGTTGGGCAGGTGCAGGGAAAAAAAAAAAGAGAGCCTGGTACGACACCATTTCAGCAGCGTGCTCACAGCCTTTTGGTGTAGAGGAGCCTCTGGACAGCAGTGGTGCAGCTGCCACCGGAGCGCAGCGAAGGAGGAAGGAGAGGGGGGTGGCTGGCAGACCGCACTCAGGGGGGGATGGAGGGAAGGGTGGGGGGTAATAGAGCGCACTCACAGCCCTTTGGTCTGCAAGAGCCTCTGGACCATGCTAGTACAGCTGGCACTGGAGCGCGGCACAACGAAGGAGTAAGGAAGCGAGGGGGGGGGCTGTGGTAGTAGAGGGCACTCACAGTCGCTTGGTCTGGGATAGCCTGTGCGCGGCAGTAATACATCTGGTACCAGAGCGCAGCAAAGGAGGAAGGGCATGAGGTAGTAGAGGGCACTCACAGTCGCTTGGTCTGGGATAGCCTGTGCGCGGCAGTAATACATCTGGTACCAGAGCGCAGCAAAGGAGGAAGGGCATGAGGTAGTAGAGGGCACTCACAGTCGCTTGGTCTGTGACAGCCTCTGGACCGCGGTGGTACAGCTGGCGCTGGAGCGCAGCGACTGCACCGACAGCTGGCGGATGCGGTGCTGGGCAGCACTCAGTTCGTCCTGTAGCGAGGACAGAGAGGGGGGGCAGAGAGTGGCAGTAAGATCGGAAGGTGCTGTCGGGTGAAGAGGAAAAGGGATGTTGCTGAAGGAATGCGATGAACGCAGGACGTGGGGAGGAGACATGGCGTGGAGAAGCAGCAGTGGAGATACTCATCACTCTCTATTTCCCATTTCCATTCTCACTCCTGATTGGCGCCTTTCTTTCCCCTCTCACCGTGCGCTTCTTCTCTTCCAAGTACCTCCCCTCCAGAACTTTGGCACTGACGACGGCTCGAATCCGTCTAATTCTCCCCAGTGTTTCCAGAACTTTCCCTTCAATTGTTAATTTCTGAAGCGCTTCCTTCTAACTAAGTTTTGCGGGTTTCCCCTCTCACCTTGAGCTTCCTGTTCTCTTCCCTCAGCGACCCCACCGAATCCCCTCCTTTCGCCTCCACACCCGCTCCCCTCCCCTGGCCCTCTCCCCCATCCTCCCCACCACGAGCCCCAGCCCCCACCTCCTTCCTCTCCCCATCCCCCTCCCCCGCCCCCGCCTCCCCGCCTTCCACCACCCCTGCCCCCACCACCAGCGCATCACCTCCCAGCAGCGCCACCACCTCCACCTTCCGCTCCCCATTTGCTAAGCTTCCGGAGGCAGACAACGGTGGCAGCTCCAGGTGCTGCCTGGGGGAGGTGGAGACTGGCAGCTCTTGGTCGTCCATGTCTGCCTCTGTGTCGGTATCTCCCAGCCCCGGACCCACTGCCGCTGCTGCCGCCGCTCCTCCTCCTGCTCCCGCTGCTGCTGCTGCTGACATGCCTCCCAACAACTCCCCTCCTGATCCTCCCGGAACTCCGGCTGTACTGGCTGTTGCTGCTGTTGAAGAAGCTGCTGCTGCTGCACCTGGTGTTGATGATGATGCTGCTGCCTCTTTGCTGCTATCCGCCTGCTGCTGCTCGCTCTGGAGCTGCTGCCATGCTCGCACCTGTGCAGGACACGGGGCAGAGCAGAGCAGAGCAGAGCAGAGCAGAGCAGAGCAGAGCAGGATAGGGGAAGAGAGGGACGGACGACAAATGTGAGCAGCAGGCAGGAGAGAGAGGAAGCAACGGGGGGACCGCTATGGAAGTAAGTGAAAACAATCCTCCATTCTTAAAAATTAATTCAACTTATCCAGTGTAAACCCTTCCCTGTCTCAGAGCACACCTGAGCCTTTGGAGTCCTCCCCTGAGCCCCTGTTACCCTCACCTGAGCCTCTGTTGCACTCACCTGAACTTCTGTTGCCCTCACCTGAGCCTCTGTTGCACTCACCTGAGCCTCCCAGCGGGCGGCAATGGCGGAGACCTCCTTGAGCCCAGCTGCCAGCCCTGAGTTCTCCGAGAAGAGGCGCTCTATCTGTAGCGACTGGGAATCCACCTGAATATGAGAAACACGGATGAAAGGAGGTGGAAGGAAGGCGGATGGCATGGCATGCATTGGGACCAAGGAGCAAAAAAACGGCCTTTTTTTTTTTTTGCCGTACCGTATTTTTCGGCCGTATGAAGCGGTTTGAAACGGTCCAGACGTGCGTTTTTTGGTTGGTGCAAAAAAACGGTCGTTAAATACGGTCGTATTGTTCAAACCAGCCAAATTTTGGGGAAAAAAATATTGTAAACAAATTGTAATCACTTTTGGGTATACCGTGGTAGTTCATTTGTGAGTGCTGTTGATTTTTTGGGATGGCTGTGACCCTTATATTGTTGGGGAGGAGAAGGAGGAGGAGGAGGAGGAGGAGGAGGAGGAGGAGGAGGAGGAGGAGGAGGAGGAGGAGGAGGAGGAGGAGGAGGAGGAGGAGGAGGAGGAGGAGGAGGAGGAGGAGGAGGAGGAGGAGGAGGAGGAGGAGGAGGAGGAGGAGAAGGAGGAGGAGGAGGAGGAGGAGGAGGAGGAGGAGGAGGAGGAGGAGGAGGAGGAGGAGGAGGAGGAGGAGGAGGAGGAGGAGGAGGAGGACTAAGATTGGACATACGTACCTGTGAAACAGTTTTTTAGCCCCCTTAGCGCTGAGTAGTCCATCGTAGCCACGCTATAATCTGTTTTCGTACTTTTTTTTTTTTTTTTTTTTTTTTTAGTGGCTCAAAAATGTCTATTTTAAAAACGGTCGTATTTTATTATGTTGCCGTATTATACTGACCGTATAAAACAGACCGTATAAAACAGACCGTATAATATGATTTCCGTATATTTGCACCCTGATTGGGACAAAGGAGAGACGCTGCATCCATAGCAACTGGGAATCCACCTGATGGATGGAGGTCACATGGACAGCAGGATATAACTTGGAACATGGAAAGTATGACATCATACTACGAAGAGTTGCCCAGTCCGAAGGGACCAACCTCCACCTGAAGATGGTAGCATGGATGGCATGCATTGGGAGAGGGAACAATGATGTACTCGACCTGAGGCAGCTGGGGTTCCACTGGATGATACTTAAGTATGGCAAAGAATCACCTCAGCTGGACTGAGGCATCTCGTAGAAGAAACAGTAACTGTTGCCATGGGAAGAATTGACGTCACCTCAGAAAGCAGCTTCAAACGCCAAACCCTTCGTCACCTGCTGCTGCAGCGACCTTGGAGTTGACTCAACAAGTCAACTTGTTCAGCGACCTTAGGAACCCTCACCTCAGAGAGCAGCCTGAGCCGTGCCTTCTCCTTCTTAGCCAGCGAGGCCGACAGCTTCTCCACCTGCTGCTTCAGCTGAGCCCGCTCCGCTTCTGCTCTCTCCCTCTCCTCCTGCCAGGGGGAACAAACAAGGTCACAGGATATCTCAGAACAGCATGAGAAGCTGGGGTGACCCGAGAAGGTCCCAGACAAGATCAGTAAGCACGCGCAGCTCTCATAACCCAAGTCGTACTAGACAAGTGTGCGTGCATGACTCAATTCGTAGGGAAAAGAAGAGGTGACTTTTGAGTCGACTCACAGGAAAGTCCCAGTGGTTCCAGAAAGCACGCGCAGCTCTCATAACTCAAGTCGAACTAGACAACTGTGCGTGCGAGACCCAAGTCGTAGGGAGGGAATGCAATGCAAGTCACCTTCAGTCTCACAAGCTCTTCCGCAAATTGCACTACAGCCTGGCTCCCATCTCCCCCCTCTGATCCCCCTCCTCCCTCCACACCATTTCCTTTTCCTTCTCCTTCTCCCTTCCCAGCCAAAACTCCACTTCCCACTTCCTCCCTTCCTCTTACTCCCACACCTTCCCCGTCTGTCTGCTTTGCTGGGCCAGCAGCAGCAGAAGCAGCAGCAGAAGAAGAAGCACCCTCTGTAACCTCTTGTACTGCTTTCACTTCACTCTGATCCTTTGCCTCTGACCTTGCCTCTGCTTCAACCTGCCTCCGCACCTCCTCCCGGATCTTCTCCGTCACCTCGCCCCGGACCTGCTTCTCAATTTCTTGCCGAAGCTCCGACCGCAGCTCTTCCCGAACCTCTTTCCGAGCCTCTTCCTTCGCCTCCTGCCGCGTCCGAGCCACAGCGGCTGCTTCGATCTCTTTCCGAGCCTCATCGCTCGCAGAAGTCACTTGAACCCCCTCCTCCACTTCTCCTTGACTGCTGGCCTTTGAGTCCTCTGCAATTCCCCCAGATTTTCCTCCTAGGTCCTCCCGAACCTCAACCTTCACCTTCTCCCGAACCTCCGCTTCAAGCTCTTTACGAATCTTCCCCTCCACGTCCTGCCGAACCTCGGCCTCCACTTTCTTCCGAAACTCACTCTCAGCCTCTTCCCTGACCTCCGCTTCCAGCTTCTGCCGAACCTCAGCCTCGATGGCGGACCTGATGTTCCCCTCCTCCTCCTGCCGAACCTCCCCCTTGACGTTCTTCTTGAGCCTCTCCTGGGCCTCCAACGCCTCCTGACAAGAGAAAGGAGCATGCATGCAGATTGGAAGAAAGAGTGCATAAATGCCGAGGAACAAATAATGCTTCGAAGTGGAGGAAGCATGGTGGGAAAGAGAGACGTGGGAGAAATATGGTATGGTGCCCATTCATGATCCATCTGTCTTGTTTTGAGGCGCCTCAAAACTAGACTCCTATCACAAGGATTTTGAGGCGCCTCAAAACTAGACTCCTATCACAAGGATTTTGAGGCGCCTCAAAACTAGACTCCTATCACAAGGATTTTGAGGCGCCTCAAAACTAGACTCCTATCACAAGGATTTTGAGGCGCCTCAAAACTAGACTCCTATCACAAGGATTTTGAGGCGCCTCAAAACTAGAAATATGGTGTGGTGCCCATCCATCCGTCTTGTTCTTCCGTCCCTCCCATGTCCCTCCCATGTCCCTCCCTCTTGGCTTCCTTCCTACCTCTCAACCCTGTGCTGCGCAACTTTCAACTTGGCTTGCCTTTCATATTCATCCTCCTCCAGCCTTGCCTGCACTGCTGTGAGATCCGTCTCAACCTCCTTGCCCCCTACCCTTCTTGCCTCCTACCCTCTTTGCCACCTTCCGCCTCTCAGAGCATCAACTGCATTTACCCTCCCTCCTTGCCCAATCCCACCCACCTTCAGCCTTGCCTGCACTGCTGCCAGCTCTCTCTCTCACCCTCCTCCTTGCCCCTAGTCGCCACTGCCACTCTCTGTACACCTTTCCAGTTCACCTAACAAGACCCGAAACCCTCTCCCTCACTTCCTCCACCCACCTTCAGCCTTGCCTGCACTGCTGCCAGCTCTCTCTCTCACCCTCCTCCTTGCCCCCAGCCGCCACTGCCACTCTCTGTACACCTTTCCAGTTCACCTAACAAGACCCGAAACCCTCTCCCTCACTTCCTCCACCCACCTTCAGCCTTGCCTGCACTGCTGCCAGCTCTATCTCAGCCTCCTCCTTGCCCCCAGCCGCCACTGCCACTCTCCATACACCTTTCCAACTCACCTAACAAGACCCGAAACCCTCTCCCACATTTCCTCCACCCACCTTCAGCCTTGCCTGCACCGCGGCCAGCTCTCTCTCACCCTCCTCCTTGCCCCCAGCCGCCACTGCCACTCTCTATACACCTTTCCAACTCACCTAACAAGACCCGAAACCCTCTCCCTCACTTCCTCCACCCATCTTCAGCCTTGCCTGCACCGCGGCCAGCTCTCTCTCAGCCTCCTCCTTGCCCACAGCCGCCACTACCACCTTCAGCCTCTCAGAACACCAAGATGCTTTTATGGAGTGCTGCGCTTTACCTCCTTCGCCCCTCTCTATCCTTCACCATCGTCACCCACCCTCAGCTCCCTCTCAGCCTCCTCTCCTCCTTCCTTTCCAAACCCACTGCCACGCTCTGCCTTTCTGCCCACCTTCCGAATCCTAGCCACCTTTACCCTCCCTACATTTGACATTTGAGTCGACTCAAAAGCCTTCCTGTACACCTTCCAAAATCCAGCAACCTTTACCCTCCCTACATTTGTCATTCGCCCACCTGCAGCTTCGCCTGCACGGTTGCCAGCTCCTTCTCAACCTCCTCCTTGCTCCCAGACGCCACTGCCACTCTCTGCCTCTCCGCTATCAGCTGCTGCCGCATGCCTGTCAGTTCATGCCGCACGTCCTGTGATTGAAGGGGGGCAAAGGAAGAGAGCGGAACACATCAATGGAAAGGGTAGCGAGCCACGCCTCTCCGCTGTCAGCTGCTGCCGCATGCCTGTAAGCTCCTGCCGCACATCCTCCAGTTGTTTGAGAAAGGAGGAGGGAATAAAGGGGGAAATAAACATGCAAAACACCATGCGTCTGCTGCCACCCTCTGCCTCTCCTCCGCTGTGAGCTGCTGCCACATGCCAGGCAATTCCTGACGCACGTCCTGAGAGTTGGGGGAACCAGTGAGGGGAGAGGACCGCGGGAAAGAGAGACCATGGCAATATCTGCCTGCCACTGCCATGCCGCCCTCTGCCTCCCGCTGATTAGCTGCTGCCGCATGCCTGTGGCTTCCTGCCGCACGTCCTGTGACTGGAGGGGGGCAAAGGAAGAGACCAAGGCAATATCTGCCTGCCACTGCCATGCCGCCCTCTGCCTCCCGCTGATTAGCTGCTGCCGCATGCCTGTGGCTTCCTGCCGCACGTCCTGTGACTGGAGGGGGGCAAAGGAAGAGACCAAGGCAATATCTGCCTGCCACTGCCATGCCGCCCTCTGCCTCCCGCTGATTAGCTGCTGCCGCATGCCTGTGGCTTCCTGCCGCACGTCCTGTGACTGGAGGGGGGCAAAGGAAGAGACCAAGGCAATATCTGCCTGCCACTGCCATGCCGCCCTCTGCCTCCCGCTGATTAGCTGCTGCCGCATGCCTGTGGCTTCCTGCCGCACGTCCTGTGACTGGAGGGGGGCAAAGGAAGAGACCAAGGCAATATCTGCCTGCCACTGCCATGCCGCCCTCTGCCTCCCGCTGATTAGCTGCTGCCGCATGCCTGTGGCTTCCTGCCGCACGTCCTGTGACTGGAGGGGGGCAAAGGAAGAGACCAAGGCAATATCTGCCTGCCACTGCCATGCCGCCCTCTGCCTCCCGCTGATTAGCTGCTGCCGCATGCCTGTGGCTTCCTGCCGCACGTCCTGTGACTGGAGGGGGGCAAAGGAAGAGACCAAGGCAATATCTGCCTGCCACTGCCATGCCGCCCTCTGCCTCTCCCTGATTAGCTGCTGCCGCATGCCAGTTACTCCCTGCCGCATCTCCAGTTGTCGTTTAGGGAAGCAAGAGAGGGGAGAGAGGGAAAATGCAGGTACAGGGTTAAAGGAAACGAAACATACGAAACACTCTCTTAATGCTTCACAACACAGCACAACAACCACCTTCAACGCCTGACAATCACTTTTTCAAACAAGATTACTAACCGCTTTCCATGGCTCCTCAAAGAATCCATACCTGCAACTCAGCCTTGGCAGCATCCCTAGCAGCTTCGGCAACCCTGAGCTGGTCCGGGTCGGGAGCAAACGCCGCACCTGCCCTATCCACTGTGGCCTCTGCTGAGTGCTGCAACGCTCTCAGCTCCGCTGCTAGTGCAGCTGATGCTTCTTCTGCCTGCAAACAGTACCCAAAGAGGGGAAGATAGGAAGGGTAAGCAAAAACGCTGAGCCTGCTCTACCGCCTTGCTGAGTGCTGCAGTACTCTGAGCTCTACATCTAGTGCTTCCGATGCCTCCTCTGCCAACGAAAGGTCAGTAAGGAAGGGAGGAGAGGAGGGGCAAGCAAAAGCCGCACTTTCCCTATCCACTGTCGCCTCTGCTGAGTGCTCAGCAAAACCTTGATTTTCATCTCTACTGGAACTGCCGCCCATGCCTCCTATGGCTGCAAGACTAGTTTTGAGGCGCCTCAAAACTGCCGCCGATGCCTCCTATGGCTGCAAGACGAGAGAATCAGCAATACGCAAAAGTCACAAGTCCGCACTTGCCTTATCAAATGCGCCCCCTGTTGACTGCTGCTCATGGCTGATGGCTTTGGCACCACGGAACACAGCTCTGATTGACCCCTCGCATCGCACCAGGAAAGACCTCCTCGTGCCTTGTGTCGCCATCTTGCACTGCCCCTGATTCCTGAACTCGCCCTTGGTTACCCTAGCAAGATCCTTAAACTCATCCCACAGACGAACCACACTGCCCCCTCACCACCAATCAACTGCCCCACCTTGCACTGCTCCTCCTCTGCCTCCTGCAGTCGTCTCTTCAGCACCCGCACCTGCGATGCCAAGTCCTCCTGCTCCGTGCAATAGGGGGGGGGGGAGGAGGGATGGAGGCAGCAATATTGAACAGAGACAAAAAAAAAAGGCACCATTTGAAGCTTACGCAACTGCCTCGCAGTCGTTTCTTCAGCACCCGCACCTGCGATGCCAAGTCATCCTACTCCCACAGCGTTGAGGAGGGTTGGAGGGAGTTGGGATGAAGCTGGACTTTGCTCAAATGTAGCCACGAGTCCACGACAGCGCTCCCGACACTACACTAGAAGGAGTGGCGATTGAGAAAAAGTAGGAAGGAAATCTCCAATAACAGTACCTTCGATCAGCACCGCCACAGTACCTTAGCCAGCACGGCTGCATCCCTCTCAATGCCTGCTGCCTCCACTGCCTTGCGCAGCGATGCCGTCTGCTCCCCTGACTGGTGCGGTGGGGTTGGGGAGAGAGAGGAAAAGATTTGAGGGAAGAGGGAAGAGGGAAGAGGAGAGAGATAATCAGCGGCGTGGCTGAGGCGATTCAAAGCAAGGTGCCTGCTGCTTCCAGTGTCTTAAGCGGTGATGCTGTCTGCTCCTCTGACTGGCAGCGAGAGCAAAAGGGACAGTGAAAAGGAGAGGACACGGAAAAGGGATGAGGCCAAGGCAGAAGGAAAGGACAATGGGGTAGGGAGGTGGAGAGGGGAAGAGGAGAGAAAAGCCAGCGGAGGTGGGAGGCCAGCAGAGGGCACACCTTATTGGAGTGCGCCTTGCTCTGCTCCTCCGCTGCCTGCAATGCGGCCTGGGCCTGAGCGAGCTGCGAGTTGGTGAGGTGCAGCTGCGAGGCGAAAGGCTATGTGGTAACCAGGTACAGGCAGGCAAAGCATAACCAGCACGCACCTTGCTGGAGTGCGCCTTGCTCTGCTCATCCGCAGCCTGCAGAGCAGCCTGGGCCTGAGCGAGCTGCGAGTTGGTGAGGTGCAGCTGAGAGGCGAAGGCGTCCACCTGCTTCTTGAGCAGTGCTCGATCCGACTCCAAACGTCGCACCTGAGGGTTAGTAAGGAGTGATGAGGGGAGAATAGAGAAGGGGTGAAGAGTGGAGGGGGGAAGACAAACGGGGAGAAGGGGTGCAGCTGAGAGGCGAGGGCGTCCACCTGCTTCTTGAGCAGTGCTCGATCCGACTCCAAACGCCGCACCTGAGGGAGGGGAGAGTAGACGGAAGATGGGGAGGGGGTGAGCGGGGGTGAGAGGAACAGAAGGGAGAGGGGTGGCAGCTGGGAGGCAAAAGCGTCCACCTGCTTCTTCACCAGTGATCTGCCCGACTCCAAACGCCGCACCTGAGGGGTCATGAGGGGAGAAGAGAGAAGTGGTGAAAAGTGGAGAGTGGAGAGCAGAGCAGTAGAGGGATTAAGAGGTACCGCTGAGAGGCGAATGCGCCCACCTGCCTCCATCAGAGCTCTGTCCGACTCCAACCGCCGAACCTGAAGGATGAAAAGGTGAGGAGTGGAGGGGGGAAGAATCACGGGGAGAAGGGGCACAGTGTGAGAGGCGACGGCGTCCACCTGCGTCTCCATCAGAGCTCTGTCCGACTCCAACCGCCGTTCTCCACAGACCACGTCTGTTGCCTGTTGAGCAAATTCAAAGGACCAATTACCATGTTACCACATTACCAGGTTACCACACTCACATCCTCCACCAGGCTAGCACATCTGTGCTCTTGCGCCTCTAACCCAATTCAGTTAGTCGCACTACCATGCCACCGTGTTACTTACCAAGTTACCAAGTAACCAGGTTACCAGCAGCACTCACATCCTCCACCAGGCCGGCGCATCGGTGCTCTTGCGCCTCCAGAGCAGCTCTCGCCCTTGCTGCCTCCAGCCGTGCACTGCGCAGATCCGCCTGGGATGGCATGGAGAGGCACAGGGAAGGTGAATGCGGTACGTGCCATATGATCAGAACGGCAGGCGCCGCATCTCTACTCCTGCCGCCTCCAGCTGTGCACTGCGCAGATCCGCCTGGGATGGCATGGAGAGGCACAGGGAAGGTGAATGCGGTACGTGCCATATGATCAGAACGGCAGGCGCCGCATCTCTACTCCTGCCGCCTCCAGCCGTGCACTGCGCAGATCCGCCTGGGATGGCATGGAGAGGCACAGGGAAGGTGAATGCGGTACGTGCCATATGATCAGAACGGCAGGCGCCGCATCTCTACTCCTGCCGCCTCCAGCCGTGCACTGCGCAGATCCGCCTGGGAGATGGGCAGGGAGAGGGGAGGAGGAAAACGATCAGTGCCATTGGAATTAGCAGATATCAGGCGCACACGTCTGCAACCTTGCTGCCTCCAGCCGCGCACTGTGCAGATCCGCCTGAACGGAAAACAATAGGGGAAAACAATAGACATGGAACATTTATAGTATAAATGCTCTTAAATCGCATCATTTACCAGGCCCTTGCTGATCAGTGCCCTTGCCGCTGACGCGCGAGCAGCCTTACCTCTAGGGTTTCGATTCGCTCCCACAACGCATTGGCGTCTTGCATGGCTACAGCTCCAGACCCGACATGTTGCTGCTGCTTATGCTGCTGCTGAAGTTGCTGCTGCTGCTGCTCCTGCTGCTGCTGCTGATGATGCTGCGGCTGCTGCACCTGCTGCTGCTGGTTCAAGTACTGGTACCTCTGCTGGTTCGACTCCTGCTGCTGCTGCTGCTGCTGCGGCTGACCGTATTGGTGCGGAAACGGGGAAACGGATGCTGCCACGCTAGGGTTAGTACCCCCCAAAGTCGCTCCCTCAAGCTGGCTGCTCGGATTGCCTGTCAGCTGAAAGCCACCGCTCGACGAGGTCGAGTATTGAGGCACGGCGGGATTCAGTCCCGAATAAGGAGGGTTCGACCCCGGGTAAGGGCTCGACCCCAGGTATGGGCTCGGGTTCAGTTGAGGGTTCGAGCCTGTGCTGTACTGCGGAGCGACGGAACCGGACGACATTCCCTGGGAGTAACCGCCGGACGGTCCTTGAGGATAACCGAGTGGTCGATTCAGGGTGCTCTGGTAGCTTGGAGCTCCGCGATCCATGGCTGCAAATTGGCAGTTGTTGGCCTTGGATAAATGTCGCAGATTATTATAAGGAGTCAATGATACAATATCCTGTGGCCTTCGAATCAGTTGAAAGTGTTAAAAGAAATGGGATGGTACCCGTCCCCTACCAATATAGAAACATCAAGGGTACCTCTACACTGCCAGTGTGCTGATCGAAAGCCCCCCACCGACTGCGGGAATTCGCCACTGAGATCGTGGTTCAGCAACGTGTGTAACGATAGTAAAAATAGACTCATTACACACATCGGGAATTTACCACTGAGATCATGGTCCCAGCGACGTCTGCTAATTGGTAGTACTTTTGACGTAAAAATTTCGGCTGCTGCGGGTGCAACATATTACAGTAGAAGCCAAGATTAGAAGTCTGTACGGACTCGATACTTCTGACACCAGGTTGCGAGGCGACAAAACCAACCAGATGTACGGTGTGGATCAAGGTTGACTTGCGACAGAGTAGTCGTCGCCAGGCGACCGCCGACGACCGCTGCTGGTCTGATGATGTGCGACGCTCCGATTCCCGCCAGCTGCACTTTCGTTAGCAGATTTTCTTTTGCGTGCATAGTCACCCTCGAAAAAGAAGTACAAATCTAGCTACAGTTTTGGTATACGTCAAATTTATTAATCAATGACATCAATACGTCCCAACCTTCATCTACCAGGTTGCATCAGCCTCTTTGTAACGAGGTCGAGCCCAAAGCCCAAGGATGGTCAGCCTTGAAGCTGGAGCATTGAATTCGAAGCCTAGTTGTGCAAGAGGCAACATCTTAGTCTTCCCTCCCCGAGGCCTAGGCGTGACGACAACCATCGTGCATTACGGATCATTCTCCGCCTCGCCGACTATCCCTCCGATCGCTGCGCTTGAGGTACATGTAGTAACCAACTAAGTAACAGGTCGGTTCGCGATGGCGAAAGGCGGCCGCGCCGGCGACAGCAGGCTGCTGTCTCTCCCCGACGAGCTCCTGCAGATTATCCTCGCCCTCGCGAACCACCCGTCCGATCGCTGCAGCGTCGCGCTCTCCTGCTCGCGCCTGCGCCGCCTCTCGCGCAGCACGCCGCACACCCTCCTCCTCGAATTCTACTCGCCGCGACACGCCGCCAATCCGCGAGCATGGCTGAAAAGTTTTGACGACTTTTCGAGGGTATTTACCCATGTTGCGGATCTGACCGTGGAAATTACCTCTGGTCTGGGGAACCAGTTGATCGAGGGGATTGCGGCGGGCTGCCCGAGGCTGGAAAAACTGAGGCTCATGTCGCCATGGGGTAACTTTAACGTCAACGGTCGCGCGTGGCGAAAGCTGGCGAAGCAATGCCCGTGAGTAGACGTTTCCGTGCCTTCTCACTTGCAGTTCCTTCCCGCCTGTTCCATTTCTGAACCGACTGGAAAGCTGAACTCTCCGTGCCTATTCTCTCAGTAACCTCCTCTCCCCATCAGTTCCTTCCATCCCTCTCCCCTCTTCATCCCTCCTCATCCCTCTTAACCCCTCACCTCCCCTCCCGACCACGCTGATCAGGCATTTGACATCGCTGGAGCTCGATTCCCGCTACGCCCGCAGCCCTCTCTTCTACGCGCAGCAGCCCCCGCTTCCCCCCGTGCACGTCTTCCCCGCCCTGCGATCCCTCGCTCTCCTCTACCTCCCCTCCGACTACCTCGCGCTCCCCCGCTGCTCCTCCCTCACCTCCCTCACTCTCTGGAGCCCTGAACCCTCCACCCTCTCCTCCCTCGCCTCCTCCTCCCCCCCCTCCTCCTCCTCCCCCTCGTCTCTTCCTTCCTCCCTCTCCCCCTCCCCTTCCTCCTCCGTGGCTTCTTCCCCCGCTCCCCCCTCTTCCCCCCCTCCCCCCCTGAGCGCCTCTCTCAAGTCCCTCACGATCCACGCAGCCAAGCTGCACCGTTCTCTCTCCCCCCTCGCCCTCTTCCCCGCGCTCTCCTCCCTCTCCTTTCTCTCCTGCACCATCGACCCCTACGCCCTCCACTCCCTCTCTCACTCCCTCCACACTCTCACTCACCTCACCGTCCACTCCTGCCCGCTCGTCTCCAGCCACTCCCTAGCCCCCCTGCTCCAATCCAACCCGGCCCTATCCTCCCTCTCCCTCCGCGGCACTACCTATCGCCTCTTCAGCGCGCAGGGGTTCCGCTCCCTGCTCTCTGCCTCCTCATCCGCCTCCCAGCTCCACACCCTTCGGCTCTGCGGTCTGCCTTCGTTCCGCCCGGGCGTGCTTGCGGGGTGCAGCGGGTTAAGGTCGCTGAGTGTGGAGGGGGTGATCGAGGCTCAGGACCTCGTGCCGCACGGCGTGTCGCTGGACAGCCTCGTGAGCATGCTCGTGCGCGTGGAGCGGCGGGGGGGAGGGGGAGGGGGATGGGGGGAGGCAGGAGGGGAGGGTGGAGGAGCGGAGAGAATGGAAGAGGAAGAGGAGGCTGTGGAGACGGAAGGGAGAGGAAATGCTGGTGCTCCTGCAGCAGCAACAGTAGCAGCAGCAGGAGTAGCAGCATCACCAGCAGCGATGGGCGCAGCAGCAGCAGCAGAAGCAGGTGGGGGGGAAAGGGGGAGCGTAATCCGGGGCAGATATGTGGATATTCGCATAGAGGCAGCGTCAGCGCAGGCAGACAAGATCGCAGCAGCAAGCGACATCATCCATCTCTTTGACACGGCCGACGAAGCCACCAAAGCCGCCCGCTCCGACGCCCTCTGGGCGGCGAGCGCTGAGGGCGAGCGCGCCGTGGCTCGGATCACCGCTAGCTTCGGGAAGATCAGGTCCGGGATTTCGGCCTGCCGAGCCTTCTGCCTAGGTACCCGCGAGTCCAACGCGGCTATTGAGAGGGAGGATGTGCTCATGAGGGCGTTTGCTGCTGCTGGCCAGGCGCCAGGGTTTTTCATGACAGAGCTTGTCTCAGGGCAGGAGGGAGAGGACGGGGGAGAGGGGGATGAAATCAGGGGCATGGATGGGGCTGTTCTGGGAATACAGCCTGAAGATGGATTGGCTGAGAGTCTGCTGGGTGGGGTGCGGTCCGGTGCGGTGGGGACGCGTGAAGAGGCTCTGCGCGTGCTGCATTCGCTGGTGGCGCGGCTGGGGGAGCACACGGCGGCCATGACGGTAAGCCTCCGGTGCATGCGCCGCCTCAGCACAGCTCTACGGGCCACTCTGGCGCGACCACCAGTGGATGGGGCAGCAGCGGAAGATGGGGCGGCAGCAGGTGGGGCGACAGCAGGTGGGGCAGCAGCAGGTGGGGCAGCAGCAGGATCAGATGTGACGGCGGCAGCAGCAGCAACAGATGAGGAAAGAGCAGCAGGGCGTTGCATGGGAGGGGAGGAAAGGGCACCAGGGGGCGGAGGGCCAGGGGAGGCGACACCAGGGGAAGCGACACCAGGGGAGGCGGTGCCAGGGGAGGTAACACCTGGGCAGGGAACACCGGTGAAGGCGTCACCAGGAAACGGGAGGCAGCCACGCGGCAGAAGAGAGTTAGCCGGGAAACGTACAGAGGGGCGCCAGGGGCGCGAGTCCCCAATCCCTGTGGAAGTATTCTGCCCTCGACTCGAGTCCCTCACCCTCCAAGTGCTCTACTTCTCCTCCACTCCCCTCCCCAAGTGGCTGCCCCCAACCCTCTCCTCCGAATCCCCTCTCATGTACCTCTGCTCCCCCCCACCACCTTCCACTATTCGTTCATCCCCCTCCCCCCGCCCCTCCCCCTCCCCCTCCTCCTCTCTCTCCTCCTCTGCCCCTAGCCCGAGCATCCAGCCACAGTCCTTCGAGTCCATTGCTCGGGCTGCTGTCTTTGGCAGTCTGAAGCAGCTAACCTTGGTGTGCTGCTTGGGGTTGGAGGAGCAGCAGTGGCTTGACATGCTACGCGCGTGCGCTAAGCTGGAGGAGTTAAGGGTACAGAACAATGATAAGTTCTCAGATAGGGTTTTGGCCGGGAGCACACTGGAGAGACTCGCTGATTTTACTGTGTTGGCGTGTGACAAGGTCACTGCGGCTGGCATTGGGGGGGTTCTTGGGAGCTTTCCGAGGTTGCGGCATTTGAAGGTGGAGGCGAGTAAGGTTCAGGATCGAGGTCGACGAGAGCTGCTTCGTGCTGGTGTGGTTATCAGGGGAATAGTAGTTCAGTAAAAGGGTCTGACGAGGCAAGCAGATCGTTGTCATTGCACCACAGGGTTATCTTATGGTGAAGGAAACCATTCAATTTCAGTGCACCAAGCCCCATGGGACATACGCGTTAGGGTCACAAGAGATTGTTTTCGGTTTGACACTCTACCCAACCATTTTCGATGTCTGACGAAAGGCTCTAGAACGCATAGCACCGAACCGAACCGAACAAAGTGAACTCGTGTGATGCGCGTGGGAGAACTTTTGGCGATTGGTTTTGAGGACCTCCCAACAAATCGCAACGGTCCGAAGCATATTTAGGCTTTCGGTCGGGACGGCGGGACCCTCGAGAACTCCACCCATCCCCATGCCCATCCCCATGCATCCAGGCCTTTCAGTGCTCTCCCCCATCCCCATGCAGAAAGCGTGGTGGTGGTGAGGTGAGTCAGGCGAGCCCGTGCCAGCGTGATCCAGCGTGAGCGAGCCGATGGTTGACGTGGAGTGGAGCCAGTCACCCGTCGCTGCGGGATCACTCTGCCGTCATGGCTGTCGTGCTTCCTTGCCCACTCTCCCCTACCTCGTCCTAGGAGACTGAGAATCGCGATCGATCGGGAGGTTTCCGCCTGACCTCCAAGCCTGGTGATCGATCGGGAGGTTGCCTTCCCCCAGGCCTCGCCCACGGAGATTCATCTGTTCGATCACGCATCTCTCTCCTAGCAGCCACTCCTGCTCCATACTAATTGATTCGCCCAATTGATTCGCGTGATTCACGCAGCCTTCGGTCGATTGGTCACGTTTGTTCTCACTTCCGGGGGTGCGTGGCGGCGTTGCCCAGGCGGAGGAGCCTGGAGCGTTTCCCGTTGGCCGCTTTGTAGTGGCTGCTTTTCCGTGACCCCATAGCGGCTTCGTGGCGGCAATTCCGTAGGCTCATAGCGACCACTCCCGCAGCCTCATACGCGCAGCCTCCCGCAGCGTCGAACGCGCAATCCGATGGTGGTGCCGCGAGTGTCCCCCGAGAGCAGGCCCAGGACGGACGGCTTCGCGCAAGGCTCGGACTGCCCCATCTGCTGGGTATGGCTCCGTCCCTCTAATTAAACGTCTGGTTTCGGTAGGGCTCGGACTGCCCCATCTGCTGGGTATGGCTCCTTCCCTCTAACTAAACGTCTGGTTTCGGTAGGGCTCGGACTGCCCCATCTCCTGGGTATGGCTCCTTCCCTCGTCCCCCTGGGTGCGTCCCCCTAGGTGCGTCCCCCTAGGTGCCTCAATTCGAGGCGCAGGAGACGATTAAAACCGCGGCTCCCCTCTGGGCTCGGGCTTTCTTATCTGCTGATTAGGGCATGACCTCTCCCCACCCCCTGCTTCCTTGAACCAAATCGCGTATTAAAGGCCACTCGCCCTTACACACCCATTCTTTATTTCTTTACGTAATACTGCTAAGTGTGATGCCCGTCCGTCACCTTTAGTGACCCTCCTTTTACCGTCCCTCCACTGGTGTTCGTCATCCCCCTTACAGGAAGCCTACGATAACAGCGTGAGAGCACCTCACGTGCTGCTGTGCGGCCACACCTTCTGCAAGCACTGCGTGCTCATCCTCCCTATAGCCGTCTTCAATAAGCTCCCCTCGCTGCACATCCAGCTGCCATGGCTCGTCGACTGCCCGCTGTGCCACTGGATGACCCCAAGGCTCGTCGTTGAGGGCAACCTGCAATACCCTTTTAAGAATTTCTCCCTGGTAAGGGCTGGTTGTTGAACCGAATCCGCAGAATTCCTTCAAGAACTTCTCCCTGGAACGAGCTGATTCTCAAAGGTTTTGAGAATCTCGTTCTGGTATGGCTCCTTTCGCCTCAGATCCAGCTGCTCATTCAGCTCTTACTTCGGGTAAGAGATGGCTTATATTGTTTCAGTTCCCTTGGATTCGCCTCCTCTGTTTCAGAATCTTCAGCTCTATTTCCCCTCCGTTACCTCCGGTTTTCCTTGTCCAGCTATGGCTTCTGGAGGCTTCCAGGCTCGCTCTTCCTCGAGGCATCCAGTCACCCGCAAGGCACTCCCCCACCCGCTCCCCTCTCACCCACGGGCCAAACTCCCTAGAGCAGTCGGATCTCTTCTTGGCCCATGAACCGCGCAGCAGCAGCATCACCGATGCTCAGGTCGGCAGCAGCAGCAGCAGCAGCAGCAGGAGAAGAAGCAGTGGAGATTACAGCAGCAGTTTCAACAGCAGCAGCAGCAGCAGTGCTTTCTTGGAAGCTCAAAACCTGGGAGCCCAAGCCTTGGGTGCTCAGGTGCTGGGAGGGCGGGCATTAGGGCAGGCGTTAGGGTCCCAAACCTCTGGCGGTCAGACCCTCTGGTGGGTGCTGCCTCGCGTGCTGCTTGAGCAGTGGCGCCCAGGAGGCTCCCCAGCAGCAGCAGCTGGCGCCGCCGCTGCTGCTGCTGCTGCCGTGGCCGTGCAAGCCCTGCAGCAGCAGCACCAGCACCAGCAGCAGCAGCCGGATTGGGTAGAAGCAACACATGTCCCACATCATTACCTTCACCGCTTGCAGCAGCAGCAGCGGTGGCAGGGGCAGGGGGGGCCGGGGGCAGGGGTTTATCACCTGCTGTATTCCAGTCGGCAGCAGCTGGCCGTGTGGCTGCTGGAGCGGGCGATCCAATGGTTCCCATTCATCCGCTCATTCATCAACGGTGTGAAATACTACCTGGGCCGGCTACAGCAGCTGTGCACACGGCTGCCGTTCCTGGGCGTGCTGGCGGTGGTGAGCTTTGTGATCGTGCCCTGGTGCTCGCTGGCTCTGCTCTGCTACCTGGCTGTCTTTCTCTTTGTGGCAGTGCCGGCGGCGGTGTGCCTGGTGCTGTCGATTTACTGGTCGGAGGCGCTGCTGCGAAGGCTGACAGGGATGCCGTGACAAGACCGTGGAAGGAATACTGGAGATCGTTGTGAATGCATACAGTAGCCATGAATGCCACACTTCAGCATGCAAGATGCAGTAGCAACTAAGTCATTGCGCACCGATTTGTAAATAAGATGGAGATACGTATTGTTTAGAGCATGTTCAAGTACGTCCCTCTTGGATGATCCCTGTTTCTGTTGCTCAGAAGGCCCTTTAACGGGCATGACACCTCTATTGCTGTATAGACTGACTTTCTTTGAAGGGTCGCTTTGCTTTACAACAAAAGAGATGTGGATATTTAAAGCACGGAGTGTTACCGTTACAACACTGTCCAATAACGCGCCCATGCCGAGCAAGACGGCAGCAGCTGTCTTCTTCATAAGTAAAAGGGATAATTACAGCATTCTTATTTCTGTTTTGGGTACAGAATGTCATAGTGCCCCGGTCTGTACAGCAGTGTCATAGCAGGCGTAGCCCTTACACTCTCCTCGGGCAGAAATTCGTGAAAGTTTGCCTGCCCGGCACTGCGGTCAAGGTAAACGATCCGGATGGGTATGGCGAGAGCATCGGTGATGGCTGTGATGTGCACGTGGTCGCTCTCCTCGCCCATCGGCTCCACTTCCTTGTGGCAGAACTGGTGAAATTGGGTTGTTGTGGGGGGTGGGGGGGGGTTTGAATAGGTGTGAGTGGGGCATTTGGCACTGGTGCACATGCTCGCTCTCCTCATCGATGGACTCGACTGCCTTGTGGCAGAACTGACACAAGGGAGAAATACCACCAAGGGAATGGTAGGCAGAGGGGCGCAAGGTAAACAATGAGGACGGGTACCATGTATGCGACTGGGTGTGATGGCTGTGATGCCTGTGATGCCTGTGATGGCTGTGATGCCTGTGATGGCTGTGATGGCTGTGATGCCTGTGATGGCTGTGATGCCTGTGATGGCTGTGATGGATGTGATGGATGTGATGCCTGTGATGCCTGTGATGCCTGTGATGCCTGTGATGCCTGTGATGCCTGTGATGCCTGTGATGCCTGTGATGCCTGTGATGGCTGTGATGGCTGTGATGCCTGTGATGGCTGTGATGCCTGTGATGGCTGTGATGGATGTGATGGATGTGATGCCTGTGATGCCTGTGATGCCTGTGATGCCTGTGATGCCTGTGATGCCTGTGATGCCTGTGATGCCTGTGATGCCTGTGATGCCTGTGATGGTTGTGATGCCTGTGATGGCTGTGATGGCTGTGATGGCTGTGATGGCTGTGATCTGCACATGGTCGCTCTCCTTCCCAATTGCCTCAACAGAGCATTCACTCACGTGCTTCACTGTCTCTTTTGGGCCGCCCACGGCAGCCATAGAGTCTGCAAGGAAGGGATGGAAGACGTCCGCCCGGTGCTGGATGTCCGCCGATGTGACGAAGCGCAGGAACATGACCGCTGGGGTAGGGGGAAAAAAAGAGAAAAGAGTAGGGCGGAGGGGAAGCGGAATCAAGGGGAGAAGGTGAGCGGGTTTCACCCATTGCTGGATGTCAGCCGATGTGACAAAGCGCAGGAACATGACTGCTGGGCAAGGGGGAGAGGAAACGGGGAAAGAGTGGGGGGGAGGGGAAGAGGGGAAAGAGTAGGGGGCAGGGGAAGAGGAAACGGAGACAGAGTAGGGCGGAGGGAAAGCGGAATCAAGGGGAGAAGGTGAGCGGGTTTCACCCGCTGCTGAATGTCAGCCGATGTGACAAAGCGCTGGAACATGACCGCTGGGGTGATCAAGAAGAGGAGGGAGGAAGGAAGGGAGCGGGGGGGGAGAAGGAGAAGGGGAATTGTAGAAGAGGGGTGGAAGAAATTTGCTCGGTGCTGGATGTCAGCTGGTGTGACGAAGCCAAGGAATGCGGCCGCTGGGGAGGGGAGGGGAGGAGAGGGGAGGGAACGGAATGAGGGTGAGAAAAGATTCTTCCAGTCACTGGATGTCAGCTGATGTGGCGAGGCACCGGAACCTGACCGCTGGGGGAAGGGCGAGGGATGGCAGGCGGGGGCGAACAGGGAAACAGCGCCACCGCAGCGAGGCTGCGGCGTGAGGGAGACGCGACGAGACAGGAGAATTACTCCTGGTGCAGCGTGAAGGAGGAGGGGATCCCCGCAGATGAGACAAGCGAGGTCATGAGGGCATGAGGGCATGAGGGCATGAGGGCATGAGGGCATGAGGGCATGAGGGCTTGCACGTGGCAGTGGTTAAGTCGGTTAGTTTTGAGACGGCTCAATTCTAGAGAGTGATTGGGAAGTCGCGATAAGGACATGAGGGCGTGCGGGCATGCGGGAGGCAGTGGCACTCACCATAGTTGGAGCAGTCTGGGTCTTGGCAGTGCTTCAGAAGACCCTCCTCCCTGCAATCAGTGCACAGTTGCACCAGACGCATACACACGACAATGTACGACCACTGAAAGTATGCACGACCACTTTCAAGTATGATCACACCTACACGTCTTTTCTTTTAGGCGCCTAAAAACTCCACACCTACACAGCGGTATGTGCACATGCCTGTGCACCAGAGCCAACAAAGACGTTCATAACCGCTAAGATATTCTACTTGCTGCAAACATGCCAAATACGCATAGCCTAGCCAGGCCAGGCCAGGCCAGGCCAGGCCAGGCACGAATGAGACCGTGCCGTTCTGACGTGGAGACGAAAAACCAAAAACCAGAACCAAAAGACAGCAGCAGCAAAGGCAGCAGCAGAGGCAGCAGCAGAGGCAGAAGCAGAGGCAGCAGCAGAGGCAGCAGCAGAGGCAGCAGCAAAGGCAGCAGCAGAGGCAGCAGCAGACGCAGCAGCAGAGGCAGCAGCAAAGGCAGCAGCAGAGGCAGCAGCAGAGGCAGCAGCAAAGGCAGCAGCAGAGGCAGCAGCAGAGGCAGCAGCAGAGGCAGCAGCAGAGGTAGCAGCAGAGGCAGCAGCAGAGGCAGCAGCAAAGGCAGCAGCAGAGGCAGCAGCAGAGGCAGCAGCAGAGGCACCAGCAGAGGCAGCAGCAAAGGCAGCAGCAGAGGCAGCAGCAGAGGCAGCAGCAGAGGCAGCAGCAAAGGCAGCAGCAGAGGCAGCAGCAGAGGCAGCAGCAAAGGCAGCAGCAGAGGCAGCAGCAGAGGCAGCAGCAGAGGCAGCAGCAGAGGCAGCAGCAGAGGCAGCAGCAGAGGCAGCAGCAAAGGCAGCAGCAGAGGCAGCAGCAGAGGCAGCAGCAAAGGCAGCAGCAGAGGCAGCAGCAGAGGCAGCAGCAGAGGCAGCAGCAGAGGCAGCAGCAGAGGCAGCAGCAGAGGCAGCAGCAGAGGCAGCAGCAGCAACAACACTCACGTGAGCTTGTCGGCTGCACTTGATGGGTCCACAGCATCTAGAAGCTCCCTGTACTCCTGCACACATGCACACATGCATGCATGCGATGGATGTATGCATGCGATGGATGTATGCATGCGATGGATGTATGCATGCGATGGATGTATGCATGCGATGGATGTATGCGTGGCGGTGCGGGTGTGGGAGAGATAACATGCTATGATGGGTCCACGGCATCTAGAAGCTCCCTGTACTCCTGCACACATGCATCCATGCATGCATGCATGTCGGGGCAGGTGTGGGGGTACGCGGGGGGGAGAGAGAGTATGCATGGGTGGGTATGTGTGGGGGTTATGGATTGTATGGGGGGTATAGGGAGCAGCTGACAGGTGTAGGGGGCAACGCAGTGGACTAGTAAGGAAGAAAATGATCACAGCGATATTAAATTTGATTGACTCACAGTTAGAATCAATTCAGCCAGCTCACAGCAGCGAAGACCTCTCACGTGAACTTGGTATATCCAAGGTCAAGGTCTCTTAAGTGAGAGTATGAAGAACAGCCAGAGTCAGTTCAACTCACAGCGGAAAAGTCCTCCCACCCACGTGAGCTCGGTACACCCCAGGTCTCCTAGATGCAAGCGGTGTCTGGCAGCGCTCATTTCCCCCCACACCCCTCGCCCTCACAACAGCAATCCTCGCACCTCACTGCAGGAGTCAGCTCAACTCACAGCAGCAAATTCCCTCCCCTCCCCCCCCTAAGGTGCACCCGAGGTCTCCTATGCGAGAGCTGTCTCTGACAGCAGTCGTTTCTGCTCGCAGGAGCAGCCCAGACAGCTAACCTGCAAGAACCATTTCAGTTCAACTCACAGCGGCAAAGTCCTCCCACGTGAACTCGGTATACCCAAGGTCTCGCAGCCGCTGCTCACTGCGCGCCACTCGCCCCCTTACTTGCTCGCACTCCTCCTTGCTGCCGCCTTGCAATAAATGCTCCTGGAACAGGAGGTTGGGGGTTGAGGGGAAGCATCGGTGCAGCAGGGCGATTCAGGGTACCCCAAGACAGCCAACGCTCGCTGCGCCCCGCTTGCTCCCTCACTTGTAACAGATATTTCTGTGACGGGAGAGTGGAGGTTGAGGGGAGGATATCGGTGCATGTGCGAGGGTGACTCAGAGTACCTCACTCGCTCCCTCACTCGCTCCCTCACTCGCTCCCACACTCGCTCCCACACTCGCTCCCTCACTCGCTCCCTCACTTGCTCGCGCCCCTCCTTGCTGTCACCTTGCAGCAACTGCGCTCCTGTGGTGTGGGTGGGGCTGCAGGTTGACGGGAGGACAGCGGTGTGTCAGGGTGGTTAGGAGAATTGCAACATAGCCTCTGTTCCACTCCCTCCCTCACTTGCTCGCACTCTCCTCCTTGGAGAAAGTGCTCCTGTGAGGTGGGGCTGCAGGTTGAAAGGAGAAAATCGGTGCACCAGGTGGTTTAGGAGAAGAGGTGGATTCACCAGGTGGTTTAGGAGAATCCACAGACAGCCTCTGCTCCACTCGCTCCCTCGCTTCCTCGCCCCCCTCCCTGCTGCCGCCTTGACTTGGTGTGGCGAGTGCTCTTGTGACAGACGTCGAAGGGCGATGAGAAATGGTGGTGGATTGTTGAGGCGCCTAAAAAAATCCCTCTCTGCTGCTGCCATGAGTTGTCGTGACAAGTGCTCTTGTGACAGACGTCGAAGGGCGATGCGAGATGGTGGTGGCACTTGAGTGAATTCCTAGTACCCCCAGGTCTCTCAGCTCCCTCCACTCGTGCAATCAGCGGCTCTTTCTCTCAGCTCAGCCTCTAGTCGCTCCGCTCTACTCGCGCCCTCACTTGCTCGCCCTCCTCCCTTCTGTCTCACTTGCTGGCTGGCTCGCACTCACTCACTCCTCCATGCGTCCCCTTTCTCAGAAGTTTCTCAAACGATACACCGCCGATCAACTTACCGTTTGATTGATCGGTGGGTGCTTACCAGGAGGGCGAAGAGGAAGCATCGGAAGAAGCAGTTCCCATCGCCTCGAGTCCGCCTGATAGCCTCGTACTCCGATGCTAGGTGCTGGGGGAACGAGGGGGAGGGGGAGAGGGGAGAGGAGAGAGGGGAGAGGGGAGAGGGGGAGAGGGGGAGAAGGGGAGAGGAGGGGGAGAGGGGGAGCAGAGAGGAGGGGTCAGAGGACCAACCAGCCTCGTACTCCGATGCGAGGTGCTGGGGGAACGAGGAAGGGGGAGGGGGGGAAGGGGAGCCTGGAGGAGGGATCAGAAGACCAACCAGCCGAAGTCGGAGTCAGAGTCCGGCTGATCTGATGGCATCGTAAACCCCGATGCTAGATGCTGGGAAGTATGGAGGTTGAGATTGAGAGGAGCGAAAGGAGCAGAGCAGCGCAGAGCAGCGCGGCGAGATACACAGCTGCTACAAGGCCATGTGATAGCCTTTTTGTGCTATGATGGTAAATGCCACAAGAAACCAGGGGAAACCGGTTGGTTACCCCACGCACCTCGATTTTCTCTTGAAACGTGCTGCTTCCCGCGGCATATTCGGACGCCAATGCCGACAACGGCTCCTGCGGGAGACACGGAGATCCTTTAGAGTTAGTAGCCTCGGCTGCGCCAAGCTGGAACTGTCACACATGGATGCTCATATAATCACGCACCGTCTCTAATCACGCACCGTCTCTAATCACACACCGTCTCTAATCACATCACGCACCTTCTCTCCAACGAGCGGGTGTCGCTTTGCGTCCTCTTCCCTCATCGCATTCTGCTGTGCTAAGATCGCCTCGTCCGACGGCCGATCGCCGCCTTGCGACGGACCATCGTCGCCGTGCGATGCCATGCGACGGATTATGAGGTCGAGCGGCAGCAACGCCCTCAGCTTTCCCCCTAGCGACTGGTTGACATATATAACCGTCGGGCTGTTATCTGACGCCGTAGTGCTCAGTATGGTGAGTATGGAATCTGTTGGGAATCTGGAAAGCCACAATAACACTGCAGAATAAAACTCCTCGACATTGCATGCTCCGCTGTTAATCTACTGATTCACGTTCCCAGCACGACATCACTCCCATGTCCCTCTTACCCGTATTTTCCCATCAAGTTCCTCCAGCAACCATCTCGAACCATCCATACAGCACAAAAAAGAGAGCAGCATAAGAGCATGCAGCCACAACTGCCTTATGCTGTCAAATAACACTTGGTGACATTCATCTTGAACCACTATATTGCTCATTGGAGAGAAAACTCAAAACAGCAGCAAGCGCCAGATCAGATCAGATGCTAGGGCAGGCAGGCCAGAGGCCCAGCAGCACATAAACCAAAACAAAACTCCAAAAATCCTTCTAGTACCGTACTGGTGGTAGCAACTCGCACTGCATAGGCCCCAAAAAGACAACCGCCATCCTTTCGCAATCAGTACCCGTAACCTCCTGTTGATCCATACCCCCCTGCTCCTGCCCCCGCACCACCAGCACTGCTAGAAGGATACAGGGACGAGCCATAGCCTGACAAGTCAGCAGCAGGTGCCGAGCCGTATGCCGAAGCTGGAGCAGCAGCAGATCCATATGCCGAAGCTGGCACTGCGGGAGCAGGTGCAGGCTCGGCATAACCTGTGTGTGAATTCATGAAACCCTGAGGAGAGAAGGCAGGAGGGGGGAGGGGGGGAGGGGGAGGGGGAGGGGGGGAGTTTGGAGAGGGGACGAGGAGGGAGAGGGGAGGAGGAGAACGGGAGGACAGAGGGTCGGGAGATGAGAGGAGGAATGCAAGCCAACAATCAAGCTGCTGCAGAGTTCCCTCCAAGATTTGCCTTCAACTCTCCAGAAACACACCTCGATCAGCGGCTGCTGCACCGTCTGCTCCTGAGTCGCACTCCCCCGCACCTCCACTGTCATCTCCAGCGGCCCCAACTCTCATCCTTTCACCCACGGTTTAACCCACCTCGTGCATCTTACCTCAATCAGCTGCTGTGCCGTGTGCAGCATTTGTGGTTTTGAGTCGACTCAAAAGCCGTGTGCAGCACTTGTGGTTTTTGAGTCGACTCAAAAGCCGTGTGCAGCACTTGTGTGGCACTCGCCCACACCCCCAGTGCCGTGATCTCTCCGTGTAGCCCACCGCTTAACACATCTCCAAACTCACCTCTGTGAGTTGCTGTGCCGTCTGCACCTGCCTGGCACTCCCTCGCACCTCCACTGTCCTCTCTATCTGGCTCTCCTGGCCCTGCCCCATCCTGGCTCTCCTGAATCGTGGCAGCCTCTCAACCCGCCAACCCTATCAATTCACCCTAAAAGCTGCTATATACAAGGCCTCAAAACAAACTCACCTCTATCAGCTGCTGCGCCGTCTGCACCTGCGCGGCGCTCCCCCGCACCTCCACTGTCATTCCCGGCTGCCCGCCGGTGCCCCGGCTCTCTTGCATCATGGCGACTGCTCCATGCTCCTGCTCCCCTTCACCCATCAACCCCCAACTAGGAGCTATCGCCTCGTACCTCGATCAGTTGCTGTGCCGTCTGCACCTGCGTGGCGCTCCCCCGCACCTCCACTGTCATCTCCGGCTGCCCGCCAGTGCCTCTGCTCTCTTGAATCGTCACGGCGGCTCCGCTGGTGCGACGGAGAAAGACAATGTTGGTACCATTGGGGCCGATGATGGCGTCGACGTAGGAGAGAGGGATCTGCATGGTGGCGCTCACCTGGAGAGGGGAGAGGGGAAAGCAGAGAGGAGAGAGGGGAAAAAGGAAGGTATTGGGGGGGGGGGGAGGAGGGGGATGGGGCATTGTTTGAACGGCTTTGAAAGCTGCTGGTGCGGTGCATGAATGAAGAGCATGTTGGTGCCGTTGGGGCCGGTGATGGCGTCCACGTACGAGAGAGGGATCTGCATGGTGGCGCTCACCTGCATGGTTGGCACCAATAGTTGAGAAGGGGGCGGGGGGAGAGGGGGAGGGGGGAGGGGGAGAAGGGAGAAATGCGTTGGAAGACAATGTCGGTGCCATTGGGGCCGATGATGGCGTCGACGTACGAGAGGGGGATCTGAATGGTCGCGCTCACCTGCAGAGGGGGAGAAGGGGAGAGGGGAGAAGGGGAGAGGGGAGAAGGGATGGAGAACGGGGGATGGGTATTGGGAGGCGAAACGGGGGACGAGGGGTCCTTCAAATGGCTTGCAAAGCTGCTGATGTGTGCGACAGAGGAAGCCGATGCTGGTGCTATTAGCCCACGTGATGGCGTCTGCATGGTTGCACTGACCTGGAGAGTGGAGAGGGGAGAAAAGGACAAGAATGGGGCATGGTATTGTGCGAAGGTGAATGGGGATCTGCATGGTGGCGCTGACCTGGGAAGTGACGAGGGGAGAAACGGAAAAGAATGCATGGCTTCGGGGGAAGGTGAACGGGGATCTGCATGGTGGCGCTGACCTGTAACAGATCGGGAAGAGTGAAGTGGGGAGGGGTGAAGTGGGGAGGGGTGAAGTGGGGAGGGGTGAAGTGGGTGACATGGTGACAAGAGGAGGGCGCCAGCTCACCTGAGTGCGCTTGCTGCGGTGCCCCCACGCACGCGTTTGACGCGCTTCTAAAAACGTTACAAGCTCACCTGAGAGACAAGTGCAGTGGACAACAAGCACCTGCGTGAAAGCCGCGTGGCCTGAGTCACAACAGGAGCGCACAAACTCGCCTGAGAGACAACGGGCGAGACAGTGTTGATCATCGCAGCAGCAGCACCAGCAGGTGTATCCCTCCCATACTTGGACACAGCCGCTCTCAACTCAACTGCCCACTCGCATCCATTCCCCCTGCTGCCGTCCCTGCTGCCCGTGCTGCTGTGCTTGCCTTTGAGGCCCCTCAAATCAAGTCACCAACTCACCTGGGTGGCACGTGTGCGTCAAGAGGAGCGCCCATTCTCACCTGAGTGACGACAGGGGACACAGTGTTGGCCATAGCGGCAGCAGCAGCACCAGCAGGCGTCTCCCGCCCATACTTGGACACAGCCGCTCTCAACTGCCCACTCGCATCCATTCCCCCTGCTGCCCCCCCCCCAATCCCCCTGCCACTCCCCCCACCCCCCCTATGCCCCCATACCCCCCCACCCCCTGCGCCGCCTGTTGTTGCTGCTGCTGGTGGTATGGCTGCTGCTGCGGCTGCTGCTGGTACTGCTGCTGCTGACTTATCTGCTGGCTGTAGCTCAAGCCTCCTCCCGAACCTGCTCCCAAGCCTCCCATGGCTGAGCCGTATCTGGTGGGTAAAAGGCAGGCATTCACACAGGGGGGGAAAGCATGAATAATTATATAAACTACAATGCACCTTGCATGCCTGAAATGCATATAAACAAACTCTGTAACATGTCAACGACACAACGAAATGGAAGAAGATGATTTTCCACCACCTGTTAGCACCTCCCATTCTCCCCAGCGAATATGGTTACCACCACTTCCCATCCTACCGCTACCACCACTCACCATCCTACCGCTACCACCACTTCCCATCCTACCGCTACCACCACTCACCATCCTACCGTTACCACCACTCACCATCCTACCGTTACCACCACTCCCAACCGCTTCCAACCTGTCGGCACACCCCATGCTTCCCAGGGGAGGCGAGGCGCCATAGAGGTCAGGGGCAGCCGACGGGGGGAGGGGGGGGGGCGATAATCTAACCAACCCACTACCGCCAACCAACATTCATCCTCCCATTCATCCCATACCTGTCCGCACCCCCGATGCTCCTCAGAGGCATGGGGGCGCCATAGGGGTTAAAGTCTACCCCACCCACCACCATCAACACTCATCCTCCCATTCCTCCCATACCTGTCCGCACTGCCCATGCTCCCCAGAGGCCTGGGGGCGCCATAGGGGTTGAAGTCAACCCCACCCACCACCACCAACACTCTTCCTCCCATTCCTCCCATACCTGTCCGCACTGCCCATGCTCCCCAGAGGAGGGGCGCCATAGGGGTCAGGGGCAGCAGACGGGGGGAGGTCGAAGCGCGAGCGGTGGGGGGGGGAGTGGATTCCGCCAGGGGGAGGGTTCCCCCACCCCCCTGCAGCGCGCCCGGAGGGGGAATTGTAGGGCGCAGCCCTGGGGTCCATGGGGGGAGGGAACTGGCGCTGGGGACAGGAGGTGGGGGTGGGGACAGGAAGGGGGCGAGAAATGGGGGGAAGGGGGGAGAGGTTGTGTGAGGTAGAGGGGAAGAGTAGGGCACAGCCCTGGGGTCCATAGAGGAGAGGGCGGCATCCAGAGGTCCATGGTGGGAAAGTAGGGCCTTTGGGAAGAATGAGAAAGGGGCGAGAGCTGGAGAGGGGGAGGAGGGCGAAAGCTAAGTTGGTACCTTACGTGACTTTAGCCCACGTCCACGTAAAATATGCATATCTTTACGTGTATGTTACGTTACGTGTACGTCGCCGGGCAGGCCTCAAAATATTTTTTTTTCCGGGCAAAAATTCCCCCCCTAAGAAAATGTGATTTACAACTACTACTAGGCTGTTCAGGGCTAGAATACGGCTAATGCCTACGCTCCGCACTGATCTACCCCATCAATTTAAGTCGCAACTGAATTCATTGCGCTGGTAGTATGCGCGCTCCTCCTTCCTAGTCGTAGGATGCTACGTAGTATAGACTTAGTTGCCGCTGGAGTTAGGTTAGCGATTGGCATTCGTCGAGGGGGAGAAGGAGAAACACATGTCAAGGGGGGTTGTTTTGGGTTAGATAGGGGTTCTTCATTGACTGGTTGGATTGCCGGCGCATCGAATTTGACGCGCACCGGCGACGAGATTTCGCGCATGCGGAATTTCGCCAAACAACTTGTGACTTTCGTCGCACCCCACTGGTGATACTCTTCTACAAGAAGATTTGAACCTACAAACGTTTTCACAAAAGTCAGCTTTCCATCCCCCCTAATTGTTTCCCTTGGGCAGCCTAAAACGTTTTAGGCTGCCCATACATACAGGCCTAAAACCAGAATCGCGTAAAACGTACGTAAACGTAACGTAAGGAACCAACTTAGGGCGAAAGGGAGGGAGGTGTGAGAGGGCAGAGCAGATAGTGGGTGCGTGTGTGGGGGGGTGTGTTTAGAGCTACTGATAGAGAGACAAACATGAGGCGAGTGCACGCAGCGATCAGGGACTCTGTGGACGTCCTCACATACAGGCAGCATGGAGAGGGGGGGGAAAGGGCCGGGGGGGGGGAGAGAAGAGGACTGACGCACTGCTCAAAGTGCGGCAGCATGGAGTGGGAGAGGAAAGCGAGAGAGAGGGGAGGGGGGCGGGAGGGGGGGCACTCACACTCTGCTCGAAGAGCGGCAGCACGGAGTGGCCGCAGAGGTTGTGTATGTGATGCAAAGTGACTCAAAGCTATAGGGAGATGGAGAGGAGAGGAGGGCGACGCTCACAAGGGCTAGAGGGACGGCAAGGGAAAACTCACACTGCTTGAAGAGCAACGCCTCCCCTGGCTGCTTTTTTTGAGGCGCCTAAAAAAAAGTGAAAACTAACACTGCTTGAAGAGTCTATTTTTGAGGCGCCTCAAAAAAAGGGGAAACTCACACTGCTTGAAGAGCAACGCCTCCCCTGGCTGCTTTTTTTTGAGGCGCCTAAAAAAAGGTGAAAACTCACACTGCTTGAAGAGCCTATTTTTGAGGCGCCTCAAAAAAAGGGGAAACTCACACTGCTTGAAGAGCAACGCCTCCCCTGGCTGTTTTTTTTTAGGCGCCTAAAAAAAAGTGAAAACTCACACTGCTTGAAGAGCCTATTTTTGAGGCGCCTCAAAAAAAGGGAAAACTCACACTGCTTGAAGAGCCTATTTTTGAGGCGCCTCAAAAAAAGGGAAAACTCACACTGCTTGAAGAGCGGCAGCACGGAGTGCGGGAAGAAAGGGGGAGGGGGGAGAGGGAGGGTACATGTGGGGGGGGGAGAGTTGGGGGGTTGATGGGGAGGGGAGGGGGCACCCCCACACTGCTCAAAGAGCGGCAGCACGGAGTGGGAGAGGAAAACGAGAGAGAGGGGGGGGGGGGCGCGGGGAGGGGGCACTCACACACTGCTCAAAGAGCGGCAGCACGGAGTGGGAGAGGAAAACGAGAGAGAGGGGGGGGGGGGGCGCGGGGAGGGGGGCACTCACACACTGCTCAAAGAGCGGCAGCACGGAGTGGGAGAGGAAAACGAGAGAGAGGGGGGGGGGGGCGCGGGGAGGGGGGCACTCACACACTGCTCAAAGAGCGGCAGCACGGAGTGGGAGAGGAAAACGAGAGAGAGAGGGGAGGGGGGCGGGGAGGGGGGCACTCACACACTGCTCAAAGAGCGGCAGCACGGAGTGGTCGCAGAGGAAGCGCCTGAGATGCAGAGTGACGCCCCGAATGGCCTCGTGCACGCTGGCGTACTCCCCTGTCACCTCCACCACCCTGTCGTCCTCCAGCGCGCACGGGGGAATCTCCTCTGGAGTAGGGGTGGGGGGTTTAGAGGAAATGGGATCTCCTCTGGAGTATGGGTGGGGGGGTTAGAGGAAATGGAATCTCCTCTGAAGTATGGGTGGGGGGTTTAGAGGAAATGGAATCTCCTCTGAAGTATGTGTGGGGGGTTTAGAGGAAATGGGATCTCCTCTGGAGTATGGGTGGGGGGTTTAGAGGAAATGGGATCTCCTCTGGAGTATGGGTGGGGGGTTTAGAGGAAATGGGATCTCCTCTGGAGTATGGGTGGGGGTTTAGAGGAAATGGGATCTCCTCTGGAGTATGGGTGGGGGGTTTAGAGGAAATGGGATCTCCTCTGGAGTATGGGTGGGGGGTTTAGAGGAAATGGGATCTCCTCTGGAGTATGGGTGGGGGGTTTAGAGGAAATGGGATCTCCTCTGGAGTAATGGGTGGGGGGTTTAGAGGAAATGGGATCTCCTCTGGAGTATGGGTGGGGGGTTTAGAGGAAATGGGATCTCCTCTGGAGTATGGGTGGGGGGTTTAGAGGAAATGGGATCTCCTCTGGAGTATGGGTGGGGGGTTTAGAGGAAATGGGATCTCCTCTGGAGTATGGGTGGGGGGTTTAGAGGAAATGGGATCTCCTCTGAAGTATGGGTGGGGGGTTTAGAGGAAATGGGATCTCCTCTGAAGTATGTGTGGGGGGTTTAGAGGAAATGGGATCTCCTCTGGAGTATGGGTGGGGGGTTTAGAGGAAATGGGATCTCCTCTGGAGTATGGGTGGGGGGTTTAGAGGAAATGGGATCTCCTCTGGAGTATGGGTGGGGGGTTTAGAGAAAATGGGATCTCCTCTGGAGTATGGGTGGGGGGTTTAGAGGAAATGGGATCTCCTCTGGAGTATGGGTGGGGGGTTTAGAGGAAATGGGATCTCCTCTGGAGTATGGGTGGGGGGTTAAGAGGAAATGGGATCTCCTCTGAAGTATGGGGGGTGTGCCGGCGATTGGATGACACGCACACTCGCCCCTCATGCTCACCAGAAGTGCCACTCACCAGTGTTACCAGTATTACCAGTATTACCAGTGTTACCAGTGTTACCAGTATTACCAGTATTACCAGTATTACCAGTGTTACCAGTGTTACCAGTATTACCAGTGTTACCAGTATTACCAGTGTTACCAGTGTTACCAGTGTTACCAGTGTTACCAGTGTTACCAGTATTACCAGTATTACCAGTGTTACCAGTATTACCAGTGTTACCAGTGTTACCAGTGTTACCAGCATTACCAGTCTTACCAGATCCACTAGTGGTCGCAGTACCTGCATCACAATACAGGACCCGCCACACGAAAGTATCCTGGTACGGGCGCCAGTGCTGTCCTGAGGGCTTTGGTCGTCGGCTGCCCGTGCTGGCCAGTCACGCACCCCGCCTGTGTGGGGGGCGGGCACCAGCAGCCGCGTGGCCACTTGACCTCGCCTCCCCTGGCTGCCGAAAGGGCAGCAGTGCTGCCTAACAGAAGTACCCCTACCAAACCCTGTTTGGCACCCACTCCCACCCACACCTACCAAGGGACAGTATCCGGATGTGCGCCCCAGTGCTGTCCTGCAACGCCTTGATCGTCTGCCCCTGCCGGCCTATCAGGCTCCCCGCCTGTGTGGCGGGCACCAGCAGCCGCGTGGCCACCTGCCCCCGGAACGCCTCCCCTGGCTGCGACGCCTCGATCTCGTCCTCAGATACGCCCTCCACGATCCGACGGTGCACGCGCAGCATGGCCACCACGGCTGGGGGCAATTCCGTGTCGGGATCCTCCCGGCCTGAGACGAGCACCTGAAGTTGGGGGCGGAGGGGATAGGGTGGACAGGCGGTCTCGTGCTCCGACACGCCCTGCACGACCCCACAGTGCACGCGCAAGCAGCATCGCCACCACGGCTGGCAGGCGGTAGGTGGCTCGACCTCGGGGACTTCTCTTTCCGACACGAGCACCTGAAACTGGGCGGGTTGAAGGGGAGGTGTCAGAGGGACGGGAGACAGGCGATCTCGTCCTCAGTCACCCCCTGCACGATCCGACGGTGCACACGCATGAAGCCTCGCAACCATCGATGGGGGTAGCTCAGCCGATCCAGGAGGAATTCTCCCGCCTCCATAGGAACAGCAGCTCCTGAGGCTGGGAGAAAATGGGGATTGGAGAAACAATCCCATCTCCCACGGAACCATCAAACCCTCCCTCACCAGATCCATCTGAAGCCATCAAACTAAAAAACAAACCACGCGTGAGGCCACCAAACACTAAAGCAATCAGCTAAGGCAATTTATCCCTCCAATCCAGCCCTAGCAATCGACCCTAGAGCCCTCACGCTGCAAGCCTTTCAAATTAGCCTGTGAGCGATCAAGCCATCAAGACGTCGAACCCCGAGCCCTTGAATCCCCCAATACAGTTCCAGCACAGCTTACCACGCGGTCGTCTGTCCCCGGAGCGCCCTCGACAATCTTAACTCGCGCCTTGGTCTCGTCGCAGATCTTCTTCACATACTCCCCCCGCCGCCCGATGATGCTCCCCACCTTCCCCATCGGCACCACGAAGCGGAACACATTGTCCCCCGGCCACCCCGGCCAGCGCTTCTGCTCCCCGCCCCCACCACCGCCCCCCCCGCCCCTCTCCCCGCCTGGACCCTCCCCGCGCTCCCCGCGCGCGAGGTCCCCCGGCTCCCCGTACATATCCCCCGCGGAGCGCTTCTGCCTGATCTGCGGAGGCTCCCCGCGCTCCCCGCGCATGTCCCCCCGCATGTCTCCCCCGTCTCCCCCGATGCCAAGCGCGCCGAGCCCCGTGGAGCGCGGCGCAGAGTCCGGCGGGTAGCCTCCGCCACCGCCAGATGGATAAACCTCATTGGATGGCGGCGGATAGGCGGACGGATGCGCGGAAGATGGTCCGCCATGGGGGGAAGGTCCGCCGGGTGGTGCGCCACCAGCGCCGATGGTGGGCTGACCCATGGTGAAATTAATGTTCGGAAGAACCATCTTAATCCCCGCGTCGTCGGTAGCAGCGTCAGCGCCGGATGCGGCGGATCCGTCGGGTAGTGCGCCGTTCGTTGGGGGGAGAGGGGGATTCTGGCCTTGGTTGTCCATGGCGCCGCGAATGTGTCGCGAGACGGCGATTATTAGACGTAAGAGCGCAAGACCAGACCTTCGTGTATCGAAACGATGTTACTACTATGATCGTTACAACAATGAACTGTCTGTACAAACTGCAGGCCGTTATCTGTCGGAATTGCGCAATACGTCCGGCATGGACTGAAAGCCCAGCCAATCCCGTTGTGTTCTCGTCTCAGAGACTGGGTTCTCGTAAATTCTCGTCACAAGCTAGCTTTCTTTACAGTACAGGCCGTACACCGTTTACGCCTCCTCTAAACTTTTGATGGGGTTTAGCATTACACCCATCGGGTACAGCATCTGATTGTGACGGGGATTTGGTGTTGGGTCCTTGCTCGCCTTCGTCATCAATCACCATTTCCGAGCCAGTTTCGTAGAGCTTCCACTACGGCGTTGTGCGGTGCAGATGGTTTCAATCTAACTTACTGTGGGTATTAGAGAGGTGCAATAGGGTGACCACAGCGTCAATATAGAGATGACAACTTTCGTTCCCCCTGACCCATTTCAAGCGCTGTAGAGTTGATGGTTGGTGGCTCCTCGTCAATGTCCTGATGACAATTTCAAGGCCACCACCTCGATACTCCAGCTTGACTGACGGCGACAGGCGGAAACTCCGCGTGTCGCCCAGTCCAAAGCGATTTCGGGACAGACAGTAGATTGATTCGACAGGTCGTCGGCAAGCGACGTGAGCTTGTTCGCAAGCTGCTCGCCCTGGCGACAAGCTCGATAATCTCGAGGAGACTGTCGCTTTACAGGCTACAGTGCACCTCGCTGCTGGTCGTAGCGGCAAGCCCGATGTCCATTACTCACGGCTTGCCCAACGGTGAGCTGTTGTTCGCATCGCACAGCTTCGCCGGTTGCATCAACCAAAGCCGTGTCTGCGTCGCCTTCAGGAGGTGTGAAAATTGGATCGGGGCGTTCCGGAATGTGACGTCGCTTAACCGAACCGTTAAGCTTCTTAGCCGTTCTGGGAACATAAGCGACCGCTCTGTACCTCTCATTGACGGCCCGGGGCGTCACGGCGTTGCTTGATTTGTGTATCCCCGGGGGTCGACAATGACGCACACCACAGACCAGTCTCCACCCGTCGTGGGACCGCACGCGTGAAACTCGCGCCGCCTTTCGACGCGGATCGCATTTCAGCGTCAGAAAATTCACAGCAGATGGCTGGTCTTCCGACGCTTTTACAACGGCTCTCTGCTGGCCCTAGGTTGATTAAGTCTACACTGACCGAGGGTGACGATAAGCTGCCTTGTTCCCAGACGGCTCCGGAAAAATCAGGCTGGAACCCCCGGCCGAAGGGCTTGAGAAACGCAGCATCGGAAAGTTCTTCCCTTCGTCCTTGAGTGGTCAGGTCCAGGGTCACGAAGACCTGCAGATCCACTCCACTCTTCAAAAAGCGGAGGCCCTGGAACTCAGGTCTACCCTCCTGCTCCTGCTCCTTCCTGCGCAGTACAGCAACCTGGCTTGCTAAGGGCGACCCTCCCCTGAGCAACTATCGCCACGTGTGAAGTCTGACGTGGAGCCAGACAACCAGGTCAACATGCCTCTCCTTTGGCAGCTCGTCCTAGCAGGCATTATACTCGCTTTAGCGTACCTCACATGGCGGTATAAGTACTTCCTGAGAGGGAACAGCAAGTTTGGGCCTCCTCACTGGCCTGTCCTGGGAGCGATCCCGGCTCTCTTCTCCAACTTCCCGTATCTCCTGGATTGGTCCACGTCACTGCTCGAGGTGAGGCACTCCGTGCAGCTTGACTCGTTATTAACAGCCACTTATAGCGTGGATGGTAACGCTTTCCCTCGTCAGCATCACCAACGGCATGTCTTTTTCTGTGCAGGCATGTCCAACAATGACGTACGTGTCTCTAGGGCCCGGCATGAACGAGGTGATCACCGCGAATCCCGAGGTGCTGGAGCACATTCTCAAGAACAAGTTCAGCAACTACCCTAAGGGGCCTGACTTCCAGGTCAGTGCAGTCCAGCCATGGGAACAGCATTGCTACGACCAGCGTCAGCAACTATACGCTGCAGCTACCAGCCAAGACTTGCATCAGGGTTATCGTTGCACAAGGGTGCTGTCGTAACAGGGTTGCAGCAATCAGAGGACTACAGCCTGATGCGCCATTTTCCGTGTTGTTCGATTTCGATTATCCTTTTTCATATACAGTCGGCATTCGGGAACCTGCTGGGCATTTCAGCAAGGATAACTCTGGATGTGTTTTATCCTTATTTCCCCGCCCTGTCTTTCTCTCATGCAGTCATCATTCAACGACCTGCTGGGCCATGGCATATTCAACAGCGATGGCGAGGCGTGGAAGCAGCAGAGGAAGACAGCCAGCCTTGAGTTCTCCGCCCGGTCCCTCCGCGACCTCATGATGGTCTCCATTCAGGACGAGGTTCAGCTCCGCCTCCTTCCCACCCTGCAAACGGTTAGTTCAGAGGGTTTTTGTTCACTTTGTTCTGTCTGGCCTATTTTTTAGGCGCCGCAACAACTGGCCTATGACTCCACCCTCAGGGACCGCATGATGGTGTCCATCCATCCAGGGCGAGGTTCAGCTCCGGCTCCTGCCCACCTTGTAAACGGTGAGTGTAATGTGCTGTGCAGTGGTGATATGTTCGACTGTGAATCCACCCTCCACAACCGCATGATGGTGTCCATCCAGGGCGAGGTTGAGCTCCGCCTCCTGCGCTGCCCACCCCGCAAACGGTGAGCCCTAGAGGGATGTCGGTCACTATGCCTGACCCATGCCATGCGTCCAACCTCCGTGACCGCATGATGGTGTGCATCCAGGACGAGATTCCGCTGCGGGCTGCTGGTTCTTTGTAATACCTGACCTACCGCTTTTTGAGGCGCCTCAAAAACTGGCCTACGAGTCCACCCTCCGCGACCTCATGACGGTGTCCATTCAGGACGGGGATTTGTAGAGGGTAGCATGCAGTCACGAGTGGTATTGTATGGTATTTATGGTATGGGCCATGAGCCCCTCGTGATGGCTTCTGTTCTTCCCTCTCCTTGCGGCTCCCCCATCTCCTCAGGCTCTTGGAGTCAGGAGCGTCTATTGACATTCAGGACATTTGCCTGCACTGCACCTTTGACAACCAGTGGGGCTCTTCCCTGCCCCCCCCATCACTCCCCCATGTCGGTGCGAGCAGGCCATGGACACCAGCGCCAGCATTGACTTTCAGGACATTCTCCTGCGCTACACCTTTGACAACATCTGCCGCATCGGGTTCGGTGTTGACCCTGGCTGCCTCGCTGCAGGCCTGCCTGACATCCCCTTCGCCAAAGCATTCGACGAAGCCACCAAGGTGGGTCCCACCCACGCCACCTGTCTTGCAAGACTCTTCCCTAACGAACGAGTTTGTGCTGATGTGAGCAGGATTCGTGCTTCGCCCCCTGTGTTGCTGTCGTCACTGGTTCGTGTCGTGTGGTTTCACTGATGTGAGCAGGATGTGCTACCGCCTCCCTTCTCCACTCTCCCCCTTCTCTCCAACCCCCCTTGCTCCCTCCCTGGACTCCACAGGCCACTCAGATCCGCAACATCCTACCAGAGTCCATCCGCAGCCTCTTCATGTCGTGGGGCATCGCACACGAGAAGATTCTCAAAGCATCCGTGCAGGTCAGTCAATTTTCGAGGCGATTAAGAACCAGTCCTTTTACAGCCTTCTCATGTCTTGAGTTGGATTTGGAAAATTCTATACAAAAACATATTCACAAGAACAAATTCCATTCACTTCCTGTTATTTTTCTCAAAATACTCAAGGCCTCAGTCTGTACAGGACTGTCTTTCAGAAGTTGTAAAGCCAAGCCACTCTCGCAAGCTCTTCCAGCAGCAAGGGGTTGGAAGCACCTTATAAGGGGTCTTCTTAGATCAAAAAGCATCTCAACTCCACCGCCACCCCATTTCCCCTCCCCGCTCCCCCCGCCTCCCCCCCCTTTCGCCCGTGCTCATCCACACCCTGCAGGAGATTGATGAGTTCGCCCAGCGGGTGATCCAGACGCGCAAGGAGCAGCTGAGCAGGCTGAGGAAGGGCGGAGCAGATGGCGAGGAGGAGGGCCGGGATGGGGTCTCCCTGGGCCACTCGGACATCCTCTCCAGGTCTGCTCCTTTCCCCCATCATGCACACTGTGCCTCTAGTTCACGTTTCACACTCTAGCTTTGAGGCACCTTATAAACGAGTCTCCCTGGGCCACTCGGACATCCTCTCCAGGTTTGTGCCCCCTCCCTCCATGGTTCTCTCGCATTATCCCCCTTCCCTCCTCGCCCCTCCCTTCTACTCGTGAGAGGGGTCCAATTGTTGCTGCCAGGATCTCAAATTGTTTTTTTTTTATTTATGTGCCTCTCCACAGGATGATGATGATACAAAAGGACGTCGGGGGCCAGCTGTACTCTCAGCTGGTCCAAGACCCCTTAGAAACATGGTTTCTCACCCTCTCCACTCTTCCTTTTCTCGACACTCCCCTCCCCCACAGGATGATGATGCTTCAGAAGGACGACGGGGGCGAGCTCTACTCGGAGCGATTCCTCCGAGACGCCTGCACCAACTTCATCCTAGCTGGCAGGGACACGTCATCAGTGCTGCTGACGTGGTTCTTCTGGCTGCTGAGCTGGCACCCACACGTGGAGAGCAAGATAGTAGAAGAGGCGAGGAGCATCATTGCCAGGCGAGCTGAGGGCGACCAGAGGGAGACGTTCTCGTATGATGAACTGAGGAGCATGACCTACACCCACGCTGCCCTCAATGAGGCTCTCCGCCTCTACCCCTCTGTCCCTGCCGACACCAAGTGAGTGAAGGAAGGTAGTGTTAAAGCTAGAGCTAAGACGCCTTGAAACTGGTGCTGCACTGCTGGTCATAGGCGAGGAGTATCGTTGCCAGCCGAGCTGAAGGCTACCAGAGGAAGGAGGTGTTCACCTATGACGAGCTGAGGGGCATGACCAAGCAGCCTCGAGAAACCTTTCTCCATCCATCCATTTATCCATCCATCCATCCATCCATCCATCCATCCATCCATCCATCCATCCATCCATCCATCCATCCATCCTCCCCTCCCATCAGGCATGTGAGTGAGGACGAGGTTCTTCCCGATGGGACCTTTGTGAAGAAGGGCGGGTGGAAGATGCACGCGCTCTACACCATGGGGCACGTAATTCGAGGTGCTTCCCCTCCCTCCCCCCTCCGCCATGGCGCTCTCCCCCCTCCTTTTCTCCCCCCCCCTCCTCCCCTCCGCCCTCCCTCCCGCCAGGCATGAGAGGGAGGGAGATGTGTTGCCGAACGGCACCCCGGTGAAGAAGGGGTGGCAGGTGAGGTGCGCCTCTGCGCCATGGGGCACATGACGCGCATATGGGGGTCAACCTAAGATTTTATTCTAGTATTGCCTCAAGATTTTATTCTATCTCCCTCATCCCCTTCTGCCTATCAGGCATGTGAGTGAGGACGATGTGCTTCCAGACGGCACCCCGGTGAAGAAGGGGTGGCGGGTGATGTATGCCCTCTACGCCATGGGGCGCATGACGCGCATATGGGGCGCCGACGCCCGCGAGTACCGCCCGGAGCGGTGGATCGATGGCTCGGGGCAGCTGAAGAACGAGTCGCCCTTCAAGTTCCCTGCCTTTAATGCTGGGCCACGGCTGTGCCTGGGGAGAGACCTGGCCTACTTGCAGGTCAGTCATGTGGGTTGATGGCTGGGTGTAAGCAATGCCGTATTGTCTCTACCCCCGGTGAATGCATTGTGTGCGAGCTGTATGCGACGAGGTGAGTGGCGTGTATTCGGGGGGGAAAGACGCGCATAGTGAGTGCCGCCCGGAGCATTGGATCGACGCCTTGAGGCATCCCAGGAAACGAGTCGCCAAGTTCCCGGCCTTCAATGCTGGGTCCAGTCTGGACTGAATGCCGGGAAGAACCTGGCTTTTAGTTTGTGGAACTTGCTTGTGCCGTTTGTTACTCCTTGTCCGCATTTCATTATCCTCAAAACCTGACCTGAGCAGAGCAGTGAGCAGCACTCGCACAATGCATCTTCCGTCTCTTTCTCACTGCGCCTCTGTCTGGATGCAGATGAAATCAGTGGCAGCGAGTGTGCTGACCAAGTACCGCCTGAAACCAGTCCCAGGGCAACAAGATAGAGTACAGCGTGTCCCTAACTTTGGTTTATGAAAAACGGGCTGCTGGTTAATGTGCAGCCGCGATAGGAAATTGAGTAGGTTTGGGACATTGCAATTCCCTGTTCCTTAGTGTGTCACTTTCGATGCTCGTTGTTTGCTGAATATTCCTATCAATTAGGGAAGCGGATTCTAGACCGTTGTCCCTTGTTTCCCTCTTTCTGAAGTGTACGTTATTTAGCCTGGGGAGGGGTGTACATCTGATTTCGAGATCTGTTTGTCTGCAGGTGCCTCCTTTGGCCACTTCACATCGCTTGCCCCATCATCCCATCTCCCTCAGGCCAGACTGTGTGTGTGTGCTGCCAGCCTCCCGCCGCCCCCTTCTGCTCCTTCCTTTCCTCCTCTCATGTCTGATCTGACATATTCCTTCTCCTTTCGATGCTCGCTCTCTTATCTCGTTTCTGGTGCTCGCTCGCTCTCTTCCTCATCGCGTTCTGAGCTATTCCCCTCCGTGACGTTTTCTTAACTTCACACTAAGCGTCTTGGCTGTGCAGCATTCCAGGATTCTTCTTTTATTGTCGGAGCTCAGTCCCGCCACCCACGTAGCACTCTATCTCGAGTCGGGGCCATCATGACGGATGCAGGCGCGCCGGACGTAGCGGACTGCGGAAGTCGTTAACATGGAAGAACCGGCAGCGCAGGGTTGGTGCGTCTGGGGCCCCTGGGAGTGCGACTGGTGTGAAAGCATTGGTTCCGTAGTCGGCTGCGTTGTGGAAGGCTTGTGTAGCGGATAGTGTTATTTTCCTGTGATTCCGCCCAGTCACTGTACTTCCCGCGGGTTCTTTCCTCCCAAGACCTCTCCTCCCAACGTCATGGCAGCAAGCGACGATACTATCGCGAGCCTCGCAAATAGTGTTGACGAGTAGTCGAAGATGCCGTATCTGACGCGATTTTGTAAAAAGGTAGGTGGTGATCAAATGAGACAAGTTTGTGTGATTCTGTTTATGGGCCCACTTCCCAAAACATGCCCAGAGTGATCTTGCCGGATTCAGAAGCCTCTGAATTACATGTTATGGTGATTGTAAAAATTTGTCAGGTGTTGAACGAGTCTAAGTATAGAATCTGCAGACATGTCTCAGAAACTTAGGAGACTAGGTTCCTAAACTTAGGACACTAGCTTGGCTAGGATACTAGTATCAGAAAATTGAATGAATAGTGATAGAGGGAGAGTACACACAATATAGCTAAGTGTTGTACCCTCTAAGAGGCTACCCTATACAGTCTATACAAACATAACAAATAGACATGTTTGACACACCCCCTAGACTGCATAGGGGAAAGTCCTAAACAAACAGCTCAGGGCGGCACTACTAGTCCAACCTCTGAGACAAGGGTCTGAGCGACCAGTCAGAAGGAGTACAGACAAGGCAAGCAAAGAGCAGGGCGGCACTACTAGTCCAGCCACTGGGAGAGGACACAAGTCCAGTCTGAGTATACATATAAAGGACAGTACAAAGTCAAGGTCCTAGCAAGTGAGAGGCTACAGGAACTAGACCAAGCTGTACACAGTGCCGCTGATGATCTTTAGGCGCAAGCGCCTTCGTAAAGATATCAGCCGTGTTGGCACCTGAGGCCAAGTGTACTACGCGAGCCTGACGTCGCTGCTGTAGCTCACGCAGGAGGAAGTACCGCAGCTGAATGTGCTTCGCTCTGCCCTCGAGTCGAGGCTCCTGACACAGGAGGATCATGGCCCTGTTGTCAGCGAACAGGACCGGGGCAGAGCTAGGTCGCTCACCTAAGTCAGTGAGCAAGAAGGTCAGCCAGCGGAGCTCCTGTGCCGCCATGGCACCGGAGTAGATCTCAGCCTCACAGCTGGACTGTGCAACAGACGAGGAGCGAGTAGCTCTCCACGAGACGGCACCTGAGCCAAGGCTGAAGCAGTAGCCCTGGGTAGACCGGAGTGTCTA